GGGACGCTTACCTTTCTGCAGAGAGGAAAACCATGGGCAGGTTGGGTTGGACAAATAAAAGAAATTGCCTGGACCCTCAGAGTTGGAGGGGGAGGCCCCTCTAGTACAATCTCCAGCTTAAGAGGAATCCTGTTTGCAAACCTCCCTGACAAGCGGTCACTTGGCCTTTGCATGAAGACCTCCAGTGACAGGGAACTACCTACCTGTGAGGAGGTAGCCCTGTGGCCTGGCTTTGTGGGAAGGATTGAATGAGAATGAGACATAATATGCATAACGACCTTAAAGTGCTATGTAAACTAGCCATCATTATTAATCATTACATAAACTCTTCCTGACAGCAAACCTAAATCTTCCTCTCTGCAAGTTCCTTATTCTGCCTTCTGTAACCAAAGAAAGCAAGTCTGATCCCTTTCCTCCCCCAGGCATGAAGCCAGCTTTCAAGTCCTTCCCCACCCCCACCCCCCAGCCTTCTCTTCTCCGGGATAAAAATCCCTCATTGCTTCCCTTTCTCTTGCTACGGCACAGCAGGAAAACCTTTCACTTGTGCTGAGCTTCCTCCTCTGGGCCACCTCCAGCTCACCAAGGTCCTTTCTAAAACGTGGGGCCCAGAAATGATGGTGATCCAGATGAGGTCTAAGCAGGGCAGAGGAGCCCCTCCCCCGAGTCTGAGGCTGACCAGGAGGGGTTCTCAGCCTGGCATCTGCCAATTCGTAAAGAGATTTTGCTAGTTTTCCATCAAACGGGTTTCCTTGGCAATCCTGTGCATTTTATTTTGTGCATTTAAAAACATGATTCGGGGGGGGGGGGAATAAACTTGACCAGACTGTCTTCCCAAAGCACAAGAAGGGTTAAAGGCCCCTGTTCTGAAGGAAGAAGGCCTGGAATTAAAGGGATAAAGGCAGGAAAGTGTTCATGGTACCTGCGTGGGACACCAGAGAAATACCCCGATACAAGAGACAAGGAACAGCCAGGGGGCCAGCATCGCTGGAGGAGTAAGGAGTGAGAAGAGGGAAAGTGGGGGGGAGGGCTGTGAGGAGGGGCTTTCAGCACCAAACAGGATGTTCCGTTTGCTCTTGGAAGCTGATGGGGAGCCAATGGGGTATTTGTGCACAGTAGGGACTTTAATAAATGTTTGATTGACTTGCTGATTCCCTGTAGTACTTCCTGTCTACCCTGCCCTGCCCAGTCTAGGGCCTGCTTACCTAGGATCCCAGGTTGCTCTGCAGCCCAGCCACAGTCCTTGAAGGCAGGGCCCATGCCTTCTCTTTCTCCTGTATACTCCCAGAGCACCGTAGGCACTCCAAAACAGAGAGGCAGAGCAGGTAACAAGGCAGGTCTCTTTTCCTTTCTACTGGCCCTGACGAGGGGCAGTGGAAGCAAAGTCCCCTTTCCCTCCTGCCCCTCACATGGAGTAGACAGGCAGGAAGATCTTTGCAGGAAAAAGCCATAGTCTCATTTCCCTAAGGAATAAATAATCACAGCTCCTCACATTCAGAAGTCACTTTCAGGTGGGCCCAGTTTTCCCCCAAACCTGGTGAGGCAGGAAATATCTACCTCATGGCGAATGCCCTCATCACACCCCACCCCACCCATTTGACAGATGAGGAAACTGAGGCCCAAAGCAGGATCATAAGACCATAGATTTAGAGCTGAAAAGGCCCTCGGAGGCCACTGAGTCCGACCCCCTAATTTGACACGGCAGAAGTCTAAAGCCAGGAAAGGTGGGCCACCTCACCTCCCCCACAGTCACACGCTGGAGCTGGGGTGTTAATTAACTCCAGATCCGGCCTTCCTGTCAGGACACAGCACAGCCTGATAACCCAACACACCAGCCCGGCTCCTTTCTTCAGAAAAATATCTGCTAAATGCTCCATTTTTTTAAGGACACCATCACTTCCCAATAACTCCCCTCTTCCCCCAGCAACGGACAGTCAGGCAAAACAAACCCACAGGCCACATAGGCCTCATTCTGCATCTCGTCCCCCACCTCTCGGCCAACAGGAAGAAAAGATTCATTCCTAACCCATTTCTCAGTCTCACAGATGAAGTCAGACAAGACTCTCACCCAGTCTGTGGCCTCATTCCATGCTAATTCCTGCTCCTATCAGTGGTCAGTTACACAATGTCTATTCTAGACAACTGGACCATCATTCATTCATTCACTCATTCATTCACTCATTCATTCATTCATTCATTCAACACTGATTAGGGACAGCTAGGTAGTACAGTGGGTAGAGCACCAGCCCTGGAGTCAGGGAGGACCTGAGTTTGAATCTGGTCTCAGACACTTACTAGCTGTGTGACCCTGGGCAAGTCACTTAACTCCAATGCCTCAAAAAATAAAATAAAACAAACACTGGTTAAACACCTGTGTACAAGGTATTCTGTTAGGTGCAGAGGCAAAAACAAAACAATCTTTGCCCTCAGGGGGCTTACATTCTACTGGGAGAGATACAACATGCACAATGCCAGATAATTATGGTACAAAGGCACAATTCAGACAGAGCGACCTGGGAATATCAGAGCGGGGCAGAGGACAATTTCGGCTGGGGAGGATCAGGTCAGGCTGCATGGAGGAGGTGGCATCTCAGGATTCTGCTAGGCAGAGATGAGGAGGAGGCGCATCCCAGGGATAAGGAAAGCCTGTGTGGAGGCATGGAGGTGCTAGCCTAATTAAGATGGATATTAGCCCACGTGGGAAGGTCCATCATGTGAAATAATGTGGTTATGATAACTTGAAGCCAACCTGTGGGCTGTAAATAGTACACTAAGCGGTTGGTGTTTTATATCAGAGACAATAGGGAGCTATCAAAGCTTATGAGTAAGGGAGTGACTGGTCTGACCTGTGCCAAGGGAGAATTGCATGAAGGCTAGATTGGAAATGGGAGAAAATGGGTACAGACATCCAGGGGTAACCCAACCTGTCACTGCTGCAAGTACCCAGGAACTGTTCTGTAAAACCACGGTTACAGAACTGGAAGGAGCCACAGGTCCAACACCCTCATTTTACAGAGAAGGAAACTGAGGCACGGAGTGGTAAAGTGATGTAAGGTCATAGAAATATAGTGGATTGGAACCTGTAAGGTCACCTAGTCTAACCCCCTCCTTTTACAGATAAAGAAACTGAGGCCCAGAGAAGTTACCCAAGGGTAGGATTCAAACTTAGGTCTTTCTGACTCCCAGTTCAGCACTCTATCCAATTAATGGTATTGTCCAAAGTCACCTAGGTAATGAGGGATGGGACAAAATTTGAACCTAGGTTGTCTGCCTTCCCCAGGGCCAGCCTTCCTTCTTTTGTGCCCTCCACTGGCTTTGTGGGCTCTCCCTGTAGCTCTGGTGTTGGGGGAGAACCACACAGCCAATGAGAGCAGGAAAGCCTTCTTTCCCCAGGCCAAGCAGATGCCTTCTTTCCCTGACTGTCTGGGCAGGAACTAGAGGTCAGATGCTGTAGGACTCTGGTGTGACAGTGGTCCAAGGCCCATTATCACCACGTGCAAAGGTTAGCCAGAGTGAGGCCCAGGGGCTATGCCAACCCCCTTCCAAAGCAAAGGGAGGTAGGCGATGTGGGAACAGTATATTCTATGGACTCTCCAGTGGCTCTCTGTGCCTGGCCTGGGGAGGCAAACCATGCAGATCTAAGCAACTAAGCGAAAACTCAGGACTTAATTCCACATTTCCCAGATCTCCCCAACGTGGCCATTTTAGGAATTTCCACCTCCACAGAGACCTGTGGCAAAGGGCAGGAACCCAGTCCCTGGGGTGGCTGGGAGGGACCCAAGGACTTCAAAAGGAACCCAGAGGGATTCAAACTGCCCACTTCAAGGCCCGGGGTCAGCTGGCAATCCTGAGCCATACATTTCTTTTAATATCAACTTCCAGGCAGTTAACATTTTTAAAAGTTTAAATATAAAAACATTTTCCCTACCAGTCTGTGCTCTCCTCTCTGTCAAACACAACAGAGATTCTCTCCCCCCTCCCCCCATCTGCATCTGCCACAGAGACATGATGATTTATGGCTTATTTCCCTTGGGGGCCTGGGAGGCTGGGGAGTGGGAGGGACAAAACAGAGGAGTGGAAACTCAGGTGGCCAGTGTCCCCCTCCTGTGGTCAAATGTCCACAACAATATTCAAAAAATAGGGATGGGGGAGTGAGGATTCCAAATTTCCTATGTTAATTGGTGGCACTGATGCCACTTCAGAACACCCTCTCCCTGTCCCTCTCCATCTTCCAGCCCCCCTTCCAAAAGAAAAAAAAAACCCCAGCACAGAGAACAGATGGCAGTCACCCACCTCTTTACTGGCGAGACGTGCCGTGTTCTAGCAGGACCCATGCCGAGGCCCACAAATCTCCTGGAGCCACACAAGCATCTCTAGGTGAGGAGGGGGCAGACAGACGGGGACAGCGTGGGCACCATCAAAGAATTCAGACCTTCCCACCAGCCTAGTCTGGACACCCCGGGAACTGTCTGGCTATAGAGATGGGATCTCCACCAGAGTTCCATTACCCCCACAAAGGAAAAGGTTCCAAGAACTGAATTCACAACTCTCTCTCCCTCTCCTCTTTCTCCTTCCTTCCTTCTCTTTCTGTGTGTTCTCTCCTTCTCTCTCTCATCTCTATCCCTCCCTCCCTTTCTCTGTGTGTTCTCTTTCTCTGTGTGTTCTCTGTCTCTGTCTGTCTCTCTTGTCTCCCTCTCCTCTCTCTCTCCTCTATCACTCCCTCCCTTTCTCCATGTGTTCTTTCTGTGTTTTCTCTCTCTCTGCTCTCTTTGTCTCTCTCTCATCTCTCTCTGTCTCTCTCTTTCCTCTTTCCCTCCCTCCCTTTCTCCGTGTATTCTCTTTCTTTTTCTGTGTTTTCTGTCTCTGTCTCCCTCCCTCTCCCTGTCTCTTTCTCTCTCCTTCTCTCTCTTTCCTCTATCCCTCCCTCCCTTTCTCTGTGTGTTCTCTTTCTCTTTCTGTGTTCTCTGTCTCTGTCTCTGTCCCCCCCCCCCCCGCCACGGCTCCTTCCATAACGAAGCACCAGCTTGCAGTTGTCTTGGTAGCACTGGTTTCCCTGGTGACAGCGCCAAGGAGAAAGGAGCAGGCCTGGTACACTCAGGACACTGTGGTGAGTGGCAGCAGGAGGGGGGGCAGGCAGGTGGGTGCTCCGTGCCACCCTCCTCACCCCAACCAAACTCATGTTGTTGGCTCTGGGGGGGAGGAGGGCAGACAGCTGAGCTGGTTCCTCTCCTGACATCCTGGGCAAAGGGCTAAGACAATCCAGCTAAGAGCCAGCAGCGGAGCCCAGGAAGCTCATGGCCTGAGCAGAGGCTGTCTCTAGGGCCGTTGTGCACGCTCCCTGGAGAAGCGCTCTCTCCTCCCTGACGCAGGAAGGCACCATGGTGGCTATCTACAGTGGCCAGACGGCTACCGCGGGCGAGCAGAGCACGGACGTTAATGAGGCCTCAAGCTCCACTCCTACAGAGGCCTGGGAGCTTCACGCAGCACTGGTCAGAAAGGTGACCCCCTCAACCAGGTCATTCATCTTATAGATAAATATACATGGGGTGGGGGGGAAGGACGGACAGGTGGGGGAGCACAGATGGCTCAGCGTGACCCAACACCAACACAGAAGAAAGGACTCAAAAGAGAAAGCGGAAATCTCCTTCTGATAGTAAAGACGTGATGAACAAAAGAAGGCTTGCCGTCAAGACAAGCCAATGAGGGGAACAGGGTCTGTGGCCGCCAGAAGACACAGGTCAGTAACAAGGGCAGATGAATGAGGTGGGACCCCTTCTGCAAAGCCCGGCGTCTTACCGCCAGCTCTCCCCTTCCCCCCCCCACGTGCCTAGCAGGATCTTGGTCCCCTTCACCCCACCCAGACTATGCCTACAGATTTTCCACCTGTCCTGGGGCAGGCCAGCATGACTTGAGGTGCCAGAGGGAGAGATCCGCATAGGAGGAAAACCAGCTGGGGGCCTCTTTCTTTGAAGCTTCTGAGTACTCACTATCAGATTGTAAGTGCCTGGAGGGCAGGGCTGTCTTTCTTTTCCTTCCTTATATCCCCAGATTTCAGCACAGTGCCTGGCACCCAGGAAGTGCTTAGTAAATGTTTACTGTATTCTGCGGTAGCACATGGAAGGGTCAACCAAGCAACCGGAGGAAGACGGAGATGTTGGGCAGAGTAAGGCTCCCAGGGAGGGAGGAAACAGGGCCGAGTGAACGCAGCTGGAGGGGAGCTTCCTGAGAACGGGGATCGAGTCAGCAAGGTCTCCCCACCACCACCCCTTGCCAGCCCCTGCCCAGCGTCTGACCTGGATCTGTCCTTTGCCCACGATCTTGTCCACGATCTCGTTGTTGTCTTTGCTGACTTTCGTCTTATCGTAGCATTTCTCGTAGCAGAGGATCCGCAGAGACTGAGAGCCCTCCAGCTCGATCTCAAACTCCTGGGGGGAGCAGAGAACAAAGTCACCGAGACCTTCCAAGCCTGCGGGCAGCGATGGGAAAGAGCCTTTCCCGGGTCTCCACACAGCCTCCAGGAGAAGTGCCCCTCAGGCTCATCTGAGAGACTGATACAGTGGTGTTTAGGGGCCACCAGAAGCAGCCAAGGATCAGAGAGCGGAAGGGATGGCCGGGCCTCTGCCCACCTGGCCCACACAACCCCAGCTCTGGCTATAAATGGGATCCTCCCCAAACGAGTGGTGGACGTGTGCCTCTGCAATGGGTCCTAGCACACACACTAATAGGCCAGGGGGCTCTGTTCTCTAGAGCTGGGGTCTCCCTGCGGGGACCCCGGTGTTGCCCATCTCTCTGGAGGTCAGTCCCTCCCTCCCCTGCACTCACCTCATTCCACTGAGGCTCCGTCGTGTCCCGAAAGACCCTGGTTTTTGCCTTGCTGACAAAATAGCCGAATGAGTCCACCTCTAACGTACAGTACAAGTCTGGGGAAGAAAGGGAAAGTGGAGGGGCACTGAGGCTTTTAGGGAGCAGGAATGGGGGTCTGGGGGTGGAGAGAGCCATAGCAACATACTGATGGATAGTATAGTGTAACTGAAAGGAGCACAGGGAAGCGGGAGTCTGACTGGAACCCTGGGTGAAATCACTTCTCTGACCCTCAGTCTCCTCATCGGTGAAATTAAAGGGATGGGCTACAGGAAGACAGGCAGGGTTGTAGAAGCCAACTTGGGAGTTGGGAGTGAGACAGACCTCAACTGGAATCTCTCCCTCCCGCTAAGTGTCTATCTGAGTGATGGTGGACCAGTAATTTCTTCTCTGGGCCGCAGTGCCCTCCTGTTAAAATCAGGGGCTTGGACTGAATCATCTGGAGGCCCTTGCATTTCTCAGCCCATTAAAAGGAGGATAACAACCCTAACCCTGACTCCCTCTCGGGGCTCTTTTGAGGATCTGTCCTATAGACATCTTCCCTAATTTGCGGGTCAGCCCCTTGAAAGCAAGAACTGTTTCCTTTTTCTTTTCCCAAGAAAATAATTTTATTGACATTTCTTGTTTCTATATCTCTGTAACCTCCCAGTAAGTATCATCCTTAATGCCAAAGAAAGAAAAAGAGGAAGAAAGGGATGAAAACTCAACAAAACTAATCAACACATCAAAAAAAAAAGCCCCATTCCACACCTGTGAACCCCTACCATCTGTAAGCTCGGGAAGGAATCTCTTCATGAGGCCAAGCGTCTTTTTCCCTTTTTCCTTCTTCTATTAGTTTCCCCAGCACTCAGATGGGTGCTTAGCCCATAGAAATATTTTCATTAGTTCATTCATTAAATGAACTCATTATGGAAAATCATTCTGTAACCATAAATAAAGCAATACACAAATGTAAAGCATGGCTAGAACCCCTTCCACAAAGGGAAGGAGACATATACTCAAGGAGAGATATCTAGGCTAATTCCCCCATTTCGAAGATGAGGAAACTAAGGCCCAAGAAGGTCACCTGACTGCCTCCACGCTTAGCGCTCTTTCCCAATACATTCAGCTCTCCTTCACGTCCCATTAGTGGGTAGCTTCTTATGCTCCCTACTGGGGCTGGGACTGCCAAGGAAAATAAGCCAAGGAGGACACATGGGCAAGCCTAACATCTACCTGACTGCTTCACCCCATAGGGGGGTTCTCGACGGTGGGGGCAGCCGACCTCTCCTCCCCTGGGGTCTTCCTATCGGAAAAGGGAGATGTCCCTGCTCCTTCCACTGAGCGTGTGCAGCACGAGGCACGAGGGCCAACAGCCAAGTGGGGGCTGTGGCTCTGAAGTGAGAGATCAGGGGCCTGCAGATAAAACTTGAGGATTCCTGGTCTGTTCAGACCCCAGGAATGACATTACTCCCATCAGCATCAAAGCACGAGCTCTGAGGCTGCTTTCCATCAGGAGGGATTTAACATGGCAGAAAGGGGATGGGAGGGAGGAGCTGCTCCCCAAGCCCCTCAGCCTCCAGCCAAGGCTGACTTTTATTGACCATAAGCCTTGAGGGCTCAGATCTGGGACGGGGAAGGTGGAGAAAGGAAGATGAATAAGCAGGTGAAACCAGAAATCCCCAAGTCATCCAAAGCTCTCTGGAAGCCTGGAAAACCAGGGAACGATTCAGCATGCTGGCCAGAGGAAGAGGAGGCTCCAAGGTCTGCTGCCTGTCTTGGGGCACGGACTCTTACTTAGCAAGGGGGTGGGGTGCACCCCCTTTGAAGAAACTGGGTCTGTGTGGGCCCTTTTGGAGCAGAAGAAGGTCCTGGAACCTCAACAGTCAGACACAGCCTGAAAGCCCTGGCCAAGTCCACAAATAACCAAGGCAGACTAAATTAACCATTCCAGTGGGACAGGACATGGGGGAAGGATCCTAATAGAAACAGGAGGGACCATCTGAGATCATAAGCCTGTTGTCAGGCCTGGAAGGGACCTCACGGATCATCAAGCTCAAAGCTCCTATTTTTAAAAACTGCACATCACCCCTTTATTATAGTGAGCAGAATGAAACAAGAGGTTTAGAAGACTGATGCTGACTCCAGTTGGGACCCAGGTGGCAGGCAGGGCCAGGTAGTTGGGGCATGATGTGGAGATAAATAGGACCCACTGGGAGACTCATTTTACATTAGCCAGAGAGATTCCACTGCCACAAAATGAAACAATCAAGCAGGGAAGGGACTCACCTAAGGTCACAAAGTGAGGGGAGGGCCGGGATTTGAACCGAGCTCTTCTGATTCTAAATCTGACGCTCTTGGAATTAGTAGTAGTAATAATAATAATTTAATTATCACTTCCAGCATTATGTACAGCACTTTTTAAGTTGCAAAGTAATGACATCTATTATCTTATTTGATCCTGATCCTCCCAACAACCCTGGGAAATAAGTGCTATATTATTCCCATTTTGCAGATGAGAAAACTGAGGCTGAGAAAAGTAACTTGCCCAAGGTTATCCAGCCAATAAGTGCCTAAAACAAGATTGGAACTCGGGTCTTCCAGGCTCCAAGGTCAGAGCTCTATCCAAAATGCAACTCCTAGCTGCCATAGCACGCTTATTTCCTTATACTTCTATGAGAAGAAATAGAGCGAAAAGCCCCCTGGCTCTGAATTCAGGAGACCCGAGTTCTAATCCCTTCTCTGACGGTTATTACCTGTGTGACCCTGGGCAAGTCAAGTTCATTTCCAGCAGCCTCAATTTTCTTATCTATAAATGAGGAGGTCTGGCCTTGATCAGGGGCTCTGCTTTCAGTGTGTCACTGCCCCCTTCACTGACTCTATGGTAAAGTCTTGGGACCCCCTTCTCAGAATCAGGTTTTTAAATGCATAAAATACATCAACATGGGATTACAAAGGAAACCTATTACACTGAAATACAGCTATCAAAATATTAAAGGTTCCAAGTTCACAGACCTCCCAAACTCTATCCACAGACCCTTTGGAGATCTTTAGATCCCAGGTTAAGAATTCCCAGTCTAGACATTTGTTGGGTTTTTAAAATCCCTGTCCAGTTCTAGATCTTCAATCTCATGAACTATAAAATGTTACGGCTGGAAGAGACCTTGGAGATGATGAAGAGAAATCCCTTCACATGACCAGTGAGGAGACTGAAGCCTAACGGGGAAATGACTTGTCCCAGGTCACATGGGTGGCCAGTGAATGGGAGAACTGGGGCCAGACCAGAGGTCCCCAATCCAACAGTCTTTCAGCTGTGCCCTGGTCATGCCCACACTGCATGCTTCCTAAGGTGGCCAGTTCCTCTTTGGGACAACTCTAACAGCTAAGAAGTTCTTCCTGATATCAAGCCTAGATTGGACAGTGAGGTAGAGCCCTACATCTCTGAAGTAAGAGGACCTGGATTCAAATCCCACCTCCGTGTCACCCTGGCTGGTACTCCCCCCCACCCCAGCACCTGCCCAAGCCTTCTATAAACATGCCCGGGTTCTCCGACTGACCCTTACAGTCATGGTCTCAAAGGCCTTCCTCTTTCTTGTTCTCTGGTTACTCTCTAGCTTATCAAGGTCTCCCTCAAACTGTGGCATCCAGAACTAAATGGTCCCCTACAGGGCTGACCCAGGCAGAGTGCAGTGGAAATATCTTAATCCTGGAAACCACGCCTCCCTTAATTAGCCTTTGGCTGCACGACCACATGCTGACTCAGACTGAGCTGGCAGTCCACTGAAAGCCCCTCCATCTTGTTCAGGGCCACTGCTGTCTAGCCAGGCCTCCGCCATCTTGTGCACGTGAAACTCATTTTTGTACCCAAGTGTGAAACACTACCTTGATCCCTTCTTCCTGAATTTCACCTTCCTCTATTCAGCTCAGAGTCCTAGCATGTCAGACCCTTTTGGATTTAATTCAACGTGCATTTATTGAGAGTCTGCTGTATACAAGGCAGTGTGTTGGGTACTGAGGATACAGAGGCAAAACCAAAGGCCTCCTGGCCTCAAGGGGCTTATGTTCAACACTTGCTTGACTCATGGAGAAAGCCAACTTAGAAGGTTGATTTTGACTAATGCCCTTTTCTTCTTTTGGAATTTTTTAAAATAGAATTTTATTTTTTCCAATTATGTATAAAAATACTTTTTAACACTGATTTTTTAAATAAGATTTTAAGTTCCAAATTTTTCTCCTTCCCCCCTCCCCAAGATGGCAAACAATCTGATATAGGTTATACATGTGCAATCATGTTAAACATATTTCCACATCCCAATGCCCTTTTCTAACATCACCCGTACCAAGCAGTTTCGGGGGACGGAGAGAACTCTTTTTGTTCTTGTTGGAGGAAGACAGCAGAAGCCCCCCTGAGGGAGTCTCCCAGCACGCAGCAGACCCTTCATCAGGTTACAGTCTGGAGAGTGGCATCTATGGCTCAAAGCCTACCTTTCCAGCCGCTGCTTCCTGAGTTACGCTAGGCCACAGACAAACTGGACAATTTGCTATTTCTGGAATTCAACACGCTGCCTCCCACCTGGGTATATCATTCATTGCCTAGAATACATTCCGTCAGATAGGGAGCTAGACTTGGAATCAGGAAAATCTAGATTCAAATTCCACCTCAGAGACGGATTCTGTGACTCTAGGCAAATTACTTCTTTGGGCCTCAGTTTCCTCATCTGTAAATGGGGTGAGGGAAGACTAGATAGCCTATGCGTATAACATCCCTTCTAGGTCTAAATCGATCATTCTAAGTCATTTCACCTCTCTGGGCCTCAGTTTCCTCAACTGTAAAATGTAGGAGGTTGGACTGGAAGGGCTCTAAGGTCCCTTCCAGCTCTAAATCTATGACTCTAGAGGCAGCGTGGTGTAGTGGACAGGGTATTACTGGATTTTGAGGCAGGAAGGCTCGAGTTCAAATCCTGCTTCAGACCCTTACTTGCTGTGTGGCTCTAGGCTTATCCACTTAACCGATCTGTGCCTCCATTAGATGATGGGGTTGGGCTTGATGGCCTCAAAAGTCTCTTCTAGCTCTAAATCTATGACCCTACAAGTCACTGAGCTTCTCTGGGCCTCAGTTTCCCCATCTATAAAATAGGAGTGCTAGACAAGACAGCCCCCAAGCTCCCTTCCAGCTCTGTCTCTAGGCTCTCAGGATACAGATTCAAATGCCTGAGACAGACTGACCACAGTTCTTTGATCAACAAGAGAGAACTGAGGCCCTGAAAAGCGCCTCTGGGGAGTCACCCAGGGGTTGACAGCCCCTGCTATTTTCAGCTTCTCTCCCCAAGGGCTGGCGGCACCGGGGCACTTACTGGCTGACTGCTTAAACCCCTTGGCGGAGTGGACAATGACGTGCAGGAAGCCGTAGAGTCCTGGGGCCTCATCATCTGCAACAGAACCAGAGGAGATGATTTTCACCAGCACAAACCTGACCCGCTCCCTCAGGGGCTCCGGATTCGAGCCCTGGCCTCAATGAAGGAACAAAAAGCAAACTGACCAGAGCCTTGGTGGACAGCACCACCTGGTGGTCACAAACCCTGTGCCGTTCGGAGCAACTCCACCCAGTGCAGAGGCCCACCAGCAAAGGGCCCGAGAGCATCTTCCACTGGAGGCTGGTGCCCGACAAAAATAGGTCGGAGGCACAGTTTGTTTTCGGTCCAGGCCTCTTCTGGGTACCCCGCCCCACCCACTTCTTGGTGCTGAGCTCAAGCATCCCCCCGCCTTCAGGACCGACATCTCTCAGCCACACTCCTACCCCATAGAAAGGAAGTCAGCCCGGATCGATCGCCCTCAAGAGTGGGCTCTGGGGACAATTAGCCGGTCCTCACTGTCCAGGGTCCTCCCCTCCCCCATAAGGCATTTGCATGTTGCCAGGGGCCTCCTAGAAGCAATGATTCTGAGGAGGGAGGGGCCCAAATAGCGGGGGAGATGGCCAAGACATGGACAGCAGCTGACATTCTTACCATCTTTATTGCTGGTGACAGGAATATTATGAACAGTTCGCAGTTTGAAACAGGACCCTGTGAGCACTTGGAGTTCCACTGAACTCAAGACAAAGGCCTGGAGATCTGAAAGTAAGGCAGAAGGGGCAGGGAGGTGAGGGGCATCATCGCCACAGGTCCACTGGGGCCTGCTTCTCTTCTTCTGTTAGGAACTTACTGAATGAGGAAGAGGAAAGCCCTAGACTAGCGATTCGGAATGGATGGGGCAGAGACTAGGTCACCCTCACAGGCAATAACAGTGGAAAGAGCGCTGACGAGGCAGGAGGATCCAGGTTCAAATCTTGACTCTTGTGCTTTCTCCCTGCATGCACTGGGCTAATCCTTTTACCTGCGGCGGCCTCAGTCTCTTCATTTGCAAAAGGAGATGGTCCAACTCAACGGGTTCTGAGGTTCCCTCCCATTCTCAAAAGGGTAAGGACATGCAGACAGGCCACTAGGAAGGAGAGGCCAAGGGGACCTGAGAAAGGCCGGCGTGGGATGAGGAGAGGGGCTTCCTTCTGTGTCCTGTAATCACTATGGGCCTAATCTCTTCATTTGTAAAAGGAGGGGAATGGTACCTGCCCTACCTTCCTCACAGGAGACCGAGAGGGAGAGAGGGAAACAGAGGCAAACAGAAGGAGAGGGAGAGGGAGGGAGGGAGAGAGAGAGAATAGGAGACAGAATGGGGGGACAGAGACAGAGAGAGTGAGAGAGACAGAGACAGAAAGTGAATGAGAGAGAGAGAATAGGAGAGAGGGAGAGGGAGACAGAGAGACAGAAAGAATGGGGAGAGAGAGAATAGGAGAAAAGAAGAGGGAGAGAGAGGGAAAGAGAGGGACAGAGTACACAAGCATATAAAAAGCTAAAAACGTGTACGGTGGTGATGTTATTTCTATGACAAAGGCTGGTGAAGGCCCCCCACCCCCCCAGCTGCCCATTAGGAGGGCAGGGCTTTACCTTTCTTCTGCAGTTTCTGAATGGCTTCTCTCCACTCCGACCTCTCATAGTCTGAAGACAGGAGGAATAGGTAGCTCTAAAGAGAGGAGATGAGAATTCATGGGGCCAGCTGGGGCCAGGCTCTCCCCAGTGGCAGCTGGTGGCTTTCAAGGAGGAAGTGGCAACAGGGGGAGTTGGTGGGCAAGCCAAGCCACAGAAACATTGCTCAGACCTGCCATCACCTGGGCAGGGAGGGGGCTGCTTCCTCACTGACTGACCCAAACGTCCCCAGACTTTGACCTTGCTTACCCAACCCCCATATTGCCCTGCAGGAGACAGAGCTAGTCTAGAAATGCTGGGTTCAAAGTGCCGCCTCAGATGCTGGGTGACTCTGGATTCCCCTGGGCCTCAGCTTCCTCACTTGTCAAAGGAGAGGGCTGGTCCTGATGACCTCTACGGCCCCTTTATGAAGGAGCCAGCCTCGACTGACAGCAGAGGATGCTCCCTGCCAGCCTCCGAGGGGGCTCCTATTGGACAGCTGCCCGAGTGAAAGCCTAGGAGGTTCCCAGACTCCTGCACGGCAGCCTGTCCTGCAGCAGTCTACTCACCTTTCCATTGCGGTTGTGGATCCGGAAGGGGATTGTTGGAGAATTCAGCAGCAGTAAGAACTCGTTCTCAAACATCTTCTTCTTTAACCTCTCCATAGCTCGACTCTGACCTTTGCTGGCTCTCTGCAGGGCATAAAAGGAGAGAGCCCAAGGTCACCCATGCTCTTTGGGTCTGGACAGAAAAGGTCTGCCCTGGGGCCCTCCCCACCTGGTGTGGTCTGGCAAGAAGAGACCTGCTGTGGGAGTCTGGAGACTCGGGTTCAAATTCTACCTAGAAAACTTACTACCCGTGTGAGCTCAGACGAGTTATTTCCCTCTTTGGGCCTCAGTTTCCTTATCTGTAACACGAGGGGGTGGGACAGCATGGCCTCTGAGGTCCCTTCCAGCTGCAGGTCTAGGGTTCCATGCTGGCCAGAACGCATTTGAACAGGCCAATCAGACAAGAGAAGCAGGCTTAGAGGATACAACTCAGGGCACCTTAACAGGGAAACCTCCCCGACCACAGAGGGGGCTCAGAGCTCAGGACCCCAAGGCAAATGAGGCCCTGGGCAAAACTGGCGACAGGCGTCCCACGTTCCCTGCCACCATGTTCTTGCTTAGGCTGTTTCCCCCGCTCTGGAATGCCCTCTTTTCTACTTATCAGTCTGTTCCTGTTTATTCAGAGATCTCAATGCTAGGCCTATACACCAAGGTGGTTCAGGTCTCTTTTGGGTGGGGGGCAGCAAAGAAACAAAGCAGGGACCCTCTTGGGGAATGGCAGTGCATGAATAAAACGGAGGGACTATTGTGTCATAAGAAAGGATGAGGATGAAGGAACCAGGGACGTATTTTATATGATGATAATTACGATGACATATTACACACTGCGTCCAAAATCTTTTTGTTGTCTGTTTATCCCTTTGCAAGTAAAATTTCCCTTTGAAAACTTCCAACCTTGAACCGAGGGGAGGGCCAGATTTGTTCAGACCTAGACCAGGATGGGCAGGGAGAGGAGCGGAACCTGAGGCAACAGAGATGATGCTAGCTTGGGGTCCTGAGCCCCTCTGCCAGCCCTCTGCAAACCCTCTGAAGCCTACAGACTCCTTGTCACAATATAGCAAGGCCCCAGTTAGCAGGAATAAAGAATCCAGCAAAATGACACAGCCCCATTATTTGAATCCTCACTCTTCAAAATGTAATTATATGGAAAATATGGTCACAGGTTTCAGCCCAATGGGCATGTTCTAATAATATGACTCATTGTTTGCACTAATTAGGACCTGGTTGGGATGTTTTTCCATACACAAAAAATATTCTACAGGATTATAAAGGAAACCAACTGAATTGAAATGTAGTTACCGAGATGTATTTTTTTTAAATTTCACAGGCCTCCTCCCCAGATAGGCACACACCCCTCGGCCACATCGCCCTTCTCTCCAGTCACAGGACAGCCATTCCGTGCCTTCCCACCTCTGCTAGGACTTCGCTCCAGCAGTTTATCATCCCCTCTCTTCCACATCCTCAACCTCTCCTTCTGCACCCTCTCCTTTCCCATCTGCTTACACACATACTCAGGCCTCCTCAATCCTAAAACGAAGTCATTCTGTGAAACTTCGAGCCCTTCTAGACACTGTCCCTTCGCTCCTCTCCAGATCTTCCCTACTCAATTCATCTACACCCAATGCTGGCTCATTACCTGCTCTCTTGAACATTTTGTAGTTGGGCTTCTGCCCCTACCACCCTCTAGAAGCTGCTTGTAGGGGCAGCTAGGTGGTGCACTGGATAGAGCACTGGCCCTGGAGTGAGGAGGACCTGAGTTCAAATCCAGCCTCAGACACTTACTAACTATGTGACCCTGGGCAAATCACTTAACCCCAAATCCCTCTCCCCCCTCTGCCCAGCCCCCCTCATCAAACAACAACAACAAACAGAAGCAAACAAACAGAAATCGCTTGTTAAAGGCACCAATAATCATCAAACCCAAAGGCCTCATTGGCCTCATCTTCTACTTTTCTGCCACTTTGTTTGTTTGGTTTTTTTTTTTTGCTAGGCAATGGGGTTAAGTGACTTGCCCAGGGTCACACAGCTAGTAAGTATTATGTGTCTGAGGCCAGATTTGAACTCAGGTCCTCCTGAATCCAGGGCCAGCACTCTATCCACCAGGCCACCTAGCCGCCCCTCTTTTCTGCCACTTTGGACGCTGCTGGCCACTGCCTCCTTCTGGGCCCTCTCTTCTCACCTCTCATCACTCCTTTCTGGGCTCTTCACCCTCTTTCTGAACCCTTAACATGGTGCTTGTCCCTCTTCTTTCTCTCCAGGCAATCTCATTCACCCTTAGTTTCAACTGCCTCCTCTATATAGATGACTCATATTTAGCTCTCCACCCCTAAATTTCAGACCCTCATCACCAACTGCTTCCAGGACAGGGGTGATTAACCCGGAGTCCATAAACCCGAGATTTCAGAAGGAATGAGAATCTGGTTGGTAACAACTGCATCTTTATTTTAGTAAGTGGCTATCTTTGTAATTCTATGTATTTTATTTTACACATACAAAAAATATGATTCTGAGAAGGAGTTCACAGGCTTCACCAGACTGCTGCCAGAGGGGTAAAGGTTCAGAACCCCTGCTCTCTGGTCTGTCTGGTATCCCTCCTGGGTGGTCCCACTTGCACCTCAAATGCAATATACCCCAAACTTGACTCATTATTTTTCTTTGAAATCTATCTTTCCTTCTAACTTTCCCATTTTTCTCTGGGACACCATTATTTGCTCAGTCTCCCACGGTGCTCTCTTTGATAACTCTGTCTTCCTGTACACCCTCCCTAAGACAGTCTCACTGCCTTCCATGCTGACCACTACAATACCCTCTACTCTTCCTCCACCTCCACATTCCCAATCCATCTTTCACTTTGTTTGCCAGAATCCGTTAAAGCCAACTGTTGCTTCTCCACTCAAAAATCCCCAGTTGCTCCCCTAACCCTATCCCAAGGAGAGTTGAGAAGCTTCTGCCTGGTACTGGAGACCTTCTACAACCTGATGTCAATCTACTACTTCTAGCCTTATTTCATGTTAGTAACTACTAAACTGTGACCATTCAATTAATCAACTAATAAGCATTTGTTAAGCACCTACTATGTGCTAGCTAGGCACTGTGTTATGCCTAAGAATACAAAGACAAAGCAGTCCCTGCCCTCAAGGAGCTTATATTCTGCTGGGAAGACAGCATGAATGGATAAGTAGGTATAGAAGAAGTATCGCAATTTGACATGATATGATATAATACAATATGATGATATAATAACATCCCACTGAAGGTACTGGGGGCGAGAGGAATGAGAAAAGGTCTCAGGTAAAGACAGAGCTTGAGTTGAGTTTTGAAGCAAGCCAGGACTCGAAGCAGCAGAGGAGAGGAAGGAGTGCCTTTGAGGGGATGAGAGCTGAAATGTCAGATGTGGGGAACACTAGAGAGGTCGGGTTGGCTGGTGCTTGTGAAGGGTAACTGAGTGTGAGTCTGGACAGGCAGGCTGCAGCCAGTTTGTGAGGGGTTCTATGTCCCCAGAAGAGGAATTCTTATTTAAACCTAGAGGCGATTAGGAAGCCCGAAGTACCCTCTTCTGTAGTACCAGCTCCTCAAAATTCAACATCTTTGTGAAACTTCACTTACATGAATGACCCCATCTGACCAGCACTCTCAACAGTGGGAGTCAAAAGACCTGGGTGAAAATCCCTGCTCAGTCAGTGTATGACAACGAGTCATGAAGGACTGAGTTTAAATCCTGCCTCAGACACTAGTTGTCTGAACCAGGGTAAGTCATTTAAACCTGACTCCATTCCGTTATCTGCAAAATAAAGGGGTCATGCTCAACTGCCTCCGAGGTCCTTTCCAACTTCAACTCTACAATCTTATGACCTTAGGCAATTCTTATTAAACCTTTCTGGGCTTCCTAGCAATGGTCCTTAGGGTGTGGGTAGGGTCACTAGTTCTTCTTACCTCCTTCTGGATTTCACTCTTGAGAGCAGAGATCTTCATCTTCATGTCCTCCAGTTCATGGTCTGGGAAGGGGTGCACTTGGGGGCTGGGTTCTGACTCCTCTGGGGATGGGAAAACCAGGTCTGCCAGAGGGATGTACCACTTGCAGTCATACTGCTGGTGTTTCCTGCAAAGAGATAGTGGGGGGAGATACAGGAGGGCACGAGCTGTTAGGTTAGCCACCACTAACAGCTTCTCCTGCCAATCAAAATGGCTGTATTGGAAAAGCAACCTGTGTGGCATGATGAGAGGAAGGTGATGGAGTCCCAAGAGCCCCAAATGTGGAATAAGGAGACCTGTTGTTTAACTCCTGGTCTGGCTGCAAAACCCTCTGAGCCTCAGCTACAAAACAGGGACAACGGATGAAATATGACCTATCCCCCAAAGGGATGTTGTGAGTGAGGCACTCTACAACCCACAAAGCACTGGTGCATCATTATTACTATGAGGGGCCCAGGGGTGTGATCCCTGATTTACCTGATGAGATCCCCAATCCATAGCTCTGGAGCCAAGAAGGTTTGGGTTCAAATCCTGCCTCTGACATTATTGTGACCTTGGGCAAGCAATGATGTCCCTGGCTACAATTTCTTCATCTATAAAATCAGAGTGTCTGACTATTTCAATGGCCTCTGAGGTTCCTCCTATCTCTAGATCTGAAGCTATGATTACAAGGCCTGAGATCTGAGATTACAAGGCACATCCCCCACAGTATAAGCTCAATCACCGGCACTCAACAGGGAGGACACAGTTTCAGAGACCGTGGCAGCCTGGGCCTCCAGAGGATGGACTCCCATCACAGGCATTGGCCTGTGAAGGAGACTGTAGGCAGCTCCTGGACCCTTCCTCCTTTGTCCTTTTCCCTGTTCAGAAGACGGAGCAGGGTCCAGCAGAGGAGACCTGTATCCTGTCTTCACTAAGGAGGTGGGGGGAGAGTACAGTCTTGCAGTCTTTCCTTCCCCTAGAACCTGGCAATGGCTGCCTCGAGAGAAGAGCACGTGGGGTTCACCCACAGCTTTCTGAGTACAGGGCAGATACAAGAGCTCCTGGGAGTGGACATTCTCAGATTAAAAAATGGTGGCAGCCAGAGACCTGCTGCAGAAGCACATGGCAGAAGGGGACATCAACCAATCACGAAGTAATCAATTTCAGTCAATGAGCACCTACTATGTGCCAGGCACAGGAGATACAAAGAAGGGGGAAAAAAGCCCCTGTTCTTAAGGAGAGCATATACTCCCCCGGGTCTTGTCTTTTCCTATTGCATTATCTCTTCTTTCATGCTGACCCATATGGCCCGTATGGAAAATATGCCTGGGCAAAAGAGGAAAAATGGAGTTCTTACATAGCATTAGATCAAAATTTAGCCTTCTAACTAGAGAGGAAGATTTCCTGGGCAGGGCCAGTCTTGAGAGTTGCTTGTGGGTAACCACAAGTTTAAAAGCTTGGGGACCAGATTTTCTAGAGAGACAAACAGGGATTTCTTGATGTAGCATCCTACTGGGACAAAGGTGATCACACAAGTGTGGCCGTCCCCCTCAAATTTAATTCCCTTTTGAGGGGAGCTTATGGGCTATTTAGGTATTTTATGTGTTTCTATATCTATGGGTGAGCCCAGTGTCTTCTCCATTTTCTGGGCAGTGAAATGAAGACTGTCCTACCTTACACTGTTGCTACCTTGAGGGCCTTTACAGGAACAAGGATCCCATTACTCACACTTGGGGGGACCAAACATAAGCTGTGGGCAGCTAAGTGGCACAGTGGATAGAGTGCCAGGCCTAGAATCAGAAAGACTCATCTTCGTAAATTCAAATCTGGCTTCAGACACGTCCTAGCTGTGTGACCCTGGGCAAGTCACTTAACCCTGTTTACCTCAGTATCCTCATCTGTAAAATGAGCCGGGGAAGAAAATGGCAAACCACTCCAGTATCTTTGCCAAGAAAACCCCAAATAGGATCACAGAGAGTGGGACATGACTGAAAAACGGCTGAACAACAACAAAAACATAAGGTGTACCTAACATACATGTTGGAGATTTCCTCTGGAGGGAACTCCAGGGTTGGGGAATAAGAAGCCAGAGAGAAAATAATTATCAGTTTAGACCCTCAGTATTAGACCACTTGATCCCAGGAGATTTGTGGGGTTTGGAGCCTCAGGTTATATTACCAAAATTACTTTGGCCCCCAAAGCCCAGGGCCACTCGGGTTGCCTGAAGTCAGGAAGACCTAAGTTCAAACCCTGCCTTAGACGCTTCCTAGCTCTGGGCATTATCCTAAAGCAATGGGTCCTTGGAATGAACCACCCCTTCCCTTGTTGTGCACAGTAGTGTCAACGACTGAGGAACACGGAGCAATGGGAACCATGAAGGGACTTTGGGGGATGCTTCCCTGGTGGGGGAGGGAGCCGTGGCTTGGGGAATGTGAAAGATGAACAGCTCCTTTGAGCACTGGCCCCAGAAGTGAAGACATGGAACAGAAGAGAAGGCAGCCAACAAAGGAGGAACAATGTGTTTGGGACATGTGCGGGGAGAGAAGCCCGCAGGGCCCGCTCTGCCAAGGCAGAAGCGTGACTGGCTCCTGAAGCGGGGACGGCACTCAAGTCTATGCTCTGAAAATCGATTTTACTTTCCCGCCCTTACTGAGGGATGATCATAGGATCAGAGCAGGAAGAACCCTTAGGGACCACAGATTTCATCCCTCTCATTTTACAGAAGGGGAAACTAAGACCCACAGAGGGAAAGGGACTTGTCCAGGGTTGCCCAGCTGGTAACTGCCCACTGACTTTAAGTCCAGTGCCCAAGCCACTACATCATGGTTCCCCTCAAAGTGAGATTAACACCGCTATGAAAAAGTGAACCTCTGTCTTGGGGTTCACTGAGAGGAAGGGGGGATCTAGCCAAAGACCAAAGGGGCTACCATCCAATCAAGATGAAGTGTTAGATGGGAGATCTCCAGGTGGAGCCGTGCCAGCCGATGGCTGTGAAAGGCAGGCCTCATCTGGCCTGGGGTCATTTCTGGATGATCCTTGCCTCCGATCACACTGTTCTCCCTGCCTGGACTGCCTGCTGACCCCTCTGCTTGCTCTGCTTGAGAATCAGCGTGACGCCATGGATCAGTGGCTGGGCTTCAAGAGTCAAGAGACCTGGGTTAGAATCTGTGTGCCTCTAACATTTACTAACTGAATGACCTGGCAAGCCATTTGACTCCCAGAGCCTTTCAGCTTCCTTATTTATGAAAAGGGGAGAGTGAAACCCCCGCAGCTGGGGATGGGAAGATCAGGCTCTCCCTGCCCAGGGCCCAGCAGTGACCCTGGATGCAGGTTCACTTCTCAGGCATATATCACGAGAAACACTGCAGACACGCATTTCACTTTGACTTTTCTCAATTAAATGAGTGCTAAAAATAAACAAATCATTTTTAAAAACAAAAAGAAGTAGGAGGATTGGCTCAGACAGCTTTTAAGGACCCTTCCAGCTCCAGACCTAGGATCTAAGTCACTTCATCTTCCTGGGCCTCAGTTTCCTCTTCTTTAAAATGGGGGAGCTGGTTAGCCTTGAGGGCATTGGAGGTCCCTTCCTGCTCTAGACACAGGAGTCTCTAATTCTACTCCAGAATACACCGTCCTCTTTCTTCTCTGACCTTCCTTCCAATTCATGGACCACTCATCTAGATAAGTTATAGACTCTTGGATTGTTCCAATTGGGCATGTCTTGTTTCTCCAACTGGATTTTTGGGGCCTCTGGGCCTCCAACCATGTTGAGTCCTTCTCTCGTGCCTAGCGCTGGGTACAAAGTGGGTACTCCACAAACACTTGTGGAGCTAAATGAGAGGGAGCCATGCCTGAGTGTGTGTGTGTGTGTATGTGTGTGTGTGTGTGTGTGTGTGTGTGTGCACGCGCGCGCACGTGCGCACCGCTCCCACCCTCCACCCCCCGGGGCCCTGCCTGCCTCACCCCACGGATGTCTTCTTCAGCTTGGCACACAGCAGGACGTCCGTGAAGAGGAAGACGTGTCGAAGCTTCCTCGAACTCTCAGCCATCTCCACAAGGAACCCATCCTTCACCAGCTGCCGGGTCTGATGGGAGACAGCACCAAACCAGCCCTGCTCAGAGGGGTGCTGCAGGTGGGGCTGCGGGTCAGCTGAGTGAATGGGGTAGGGGTGAAGGGCTGGTATTATAAGCCAGGGCAGCTCCCTCTGCATAGGGACCCAGGCACCCAAGGGGGCCAACCCTAGTCTTAAAGGGTGGTTTCCTCCCGGCCGAGTCCCCCACAGGGGGACTCTCTGGGTGTTCTGCAAGGAACCAAACACAACCCCTGGGAATCTCCCCTGACCCAAGAAGCCGATCTGATTCCAGCTTCACTATAGGAGGGATAGATCCTGTCTAATGCTTCGATCCCAGGATCCACCTTCAGCTCACGGATGGACCCTGTGCACACCCCAATTCCTGGGGCATCCAGGAATAGCCTGCACTCAAGCCCCGGCTCCCTTCCTGACCACTCCAGAGCCGTCCAAGGGACTCATTTATTGATGTTCTGGTCCAGACCACGCTTCCCAAATTTCCCTTCCTCTCCTCCAAAGAAACAGGATACCGGCCTCAGCACCAGTGACCACCAATTGCTTTTCTTGAGTTTCCACACATTTTATCACTGTTTGATTTCTTTACACCTCTCCTCTCACCTCTTCTTAAAAATATACCCTAGTGCCTGTGGTGTGCGCGCGTGTGTGCATGCACACACACAGTGAAAAGAGCACTAGCTTCAGAAGGTCTGAATTCCAGCTCTGAGACTTTCTTCCAGTGTGACCTTGGGCAAGTCCCTTAACATCCCTGGGCTTTCAGACCTCATCTGACAAAGAAGAGGGCAGGACTAGATCTTGGAGGTCTTTTCCAGCTTAAAAATCTATGACCCACGCCACCCCCCACCCCGGTTATATATGGAATACTTCTATGGCATAGAACTACAATCTAAAATATAGCTGATACTTTCACGCATCAAATCGATCTGAAAACAAATAATTAAAATGAATGAAAACAGATGGGGTTTTGACTGCTTTCAGAAAATACCGGGCCCCTCCCTGAGATTAATGGGAACATCCTTGGGGTCTACAAACCTGGGCTGGGAAACACACACTTCTGGGTCTCATCAATCACTGCAAGGCCCCTGCCTCCTGCCTCCCTCCATCTCTCAGCTCAGCCCGTGGGCTTGAGCTTCATAAATCAGATAAATGATCGTGACCCCAGTGAACCTTCAGCTTTGGGTATTGTCTATTCACTTTTACTGGATGGTGAGCATGGCGTTCCCGGTTGGCCTGCGGGCTGTCACGGCTGCCTGAGAACTTGGGGTCCTCCTGAGTCTCTCTTCACCCAGCCCCACAGAGAAGGAAGCATCCGATAAAGGGTCATTACCTAGCTCCCACATGTTATATACAAGCAACCTCTAAGGTCCCTTCCTACATCTAAGCACCCCTGTTCTTAACCTTTTATGGACGATCATGGTTCCCTCTGGCACACAGTCCGGTGAAGCACTTTTTGCCTCCTGGACCCTTCTCAGAATCACGCTTTTAAATGCATAAAATATAGAAGATTACAAAGAAAATCAATTATATTAAAATATCATTGTCAAAGTACTTAAAAAGAGTAAGTTCACAGACCCTAGGTTAAGAATTTCTGCTCTAGAAGACGTTGTCAATTTGGAGATGTCTCAACCACCCAATACTACCTGAAACACTGCAGGGCTGGGTTTGTGCCTGCAATGACCTTGGGGCCAGAGCTCGGGCAGAAATGGCACCATCCATATACCGCTGTGGTCCCAATGTTAAGAGGACAGCAGTTAGCAAGCTGGGGCTGGTCTTTATAGGCAGAGGGGTGTTTACTGGTGGCATGACCCTGGGCTCATCACAACCACCCTGAGTCTCAGTTTCCTCATCTGTAGAATGAGGCAGCTGGATTCAATGAGGTCCCTTCTATGATCATAATGTTGAGTCCTAAAAGTAGACCCATTCTATCAGGGTTTCCCAGGATGCAAATTTCTAGCCTTGGTTAAGAATATATCCAGGGGAGGATGCCTTGTTGGGACAATGGACTAAAGCCAACTGATAGAATAAGAACACACACAGGTGAAGGTGGGAGCAGAGAGAAAACGTGAAATACCCTTCTTCAAACGCTCGTCATTTGGCTGAGATGGCACGGGAAACAGGGCGGCCCTCTGAAGTCTGTGCTTACCTCTCCTTTGGGGGGTAGTGACCGCAGTCCGGCAGGGGTCAATGTCCTCATTGATGCTGGACAGGAAGTTTTGGGAGATGCGCAGGGCGTCCTGCAGTAATGGGTAGTCAGGATGGTCCACTGGCGTGTGCTTGAGGAGGTCCTGATCAGAGGATATGGGGGTGAGAACCAGTGACTTCTGAGGGCAACATCTGCCACATCTATCTCCCGGAGACTGAGCTCTGAGAAAGCTCCCATCAGAGGCAAGGAAAAACCCTCTTTGCCCACCAGACTTGCCCTGGACGGCATCTCTGTACCGGAACAGGGTCCATGAGAGTTACTTCTGAAAGAGCGGCTCGGAGAAGCCCCCCCCCCACCCCCCACCCCAGCCCTATTCCCTCTGTTTTGAACAGGAAATGGAAAGAGAGGGAAAGATGTGAGGACACAGGGGCACGGGAGGATAGTGGACTGCCATCCTTCTCCTGAGCGATGGGAGCATTTGGCCAAACGTCGGGCTCAGTAGCCAAGCTATATTTAGGCCCAAGGCCGGTTGGCATGGTTACCATGGGCCAAGCAGGCGCAGTCAGGGCCAGGAGACCCTCTGCCTGCTTCCCCAGATTAGCCATTCTGGGCACCACACGATCTCTGTAGCTCCATTGCCTTCTCACCCTTGGACCTGGCTGCCCACCTCTCTCAACCCCCTCCCACATCTAGCCCGATACTCACGTGGAGGACGAGGGTGCTCCGTGTGACACGGTCGATGGGCTTGTAAAGAAGTGCTGGGTGGGGAGTTTGGGGGACAGAGGAAGGAGAGAAGAGCACAAGGAACCCTCATGAGACATCTGAGGCAAATAGGCTAGGTGCCCCCCATAATGGCCAGCAACTACATGCTTCACGCATGGTGAGATGTCCCAATCAGTAACTGCAGGTCAAAGGAGCCCTGTTCTTCCTGGTTGTTATTCCTTATCTCATACAAGCAGGAATTCTCCCCACTCCCTCCACTCATACCCCCAGGGAGTGGCTCATGGATGCCCCTTCCTTCTCTTGGCTTAGCCAGAGCAGCTCAGGACCACCTAGAATCATCACATCTGAGTTGGAAGAGACCTCAGAGGTCACCTAACCAATCCACAATTCTACCATTCGATTTTTCAATTCAACAAACATTAGGCACCTATTATCAAACAACCTATTAACATTTATTAAGTGCCTCCTACGTGCTAGTCACTGTGCTAAGCAAGCACTGTACAATAACCCTGAGAAGTAGCCATCCTGCCTCTACTTGAGGTTAAAGGTCTCAAGTAATGGCGAGTCCAACCATCTTTTGAAGCAGCCCCAGACCGCTTTTGGGGAGCTCTCACTGCCACAAAGTTCTTCCTTATGTCAAGCCAAAATGGCCTTCCACCTGTTGGAATTTCTGCCCTCTAAGACCACAGAGAATGACTCTAATCCCTTCAAATGCCTGACAACAGCTAAGCCCTCTCTCTCTCTTCTTTCCCCCCTCTCCTTCTCCCTCCCTCTCCCCTCCCCCCCAAGAGGGAGGGAGGGAGGGAGCAGGGAAGAGAGATTGGCAGGCAGAGGCTATAACCATTCTCAGTTCCTTCGAGAGATACAGATCAGATACGCTTTCCAGTCCTCTGGATATGGCCCAGGTTATCAGTGTCCTTCCTGTCATCTAGGACAGAGTGCCAGGGTCTGACTGGGTCAGAGTACAGGGAGGCTGTCACCCTCCTCATCCCTGACATCATGCCGCTATAAATGCAGGGAGGATCATGCTAGCTTTTCTGGCTGCTGTATCCTATTCTAACTCACATGGGACTCATAAGTCACTAAAAACCCCTTATCTTTTTGCTTTCATGTGAACTCTAATTGAGCCAGGCACCCCTTATCTTCTATTTTATAGCTGATTTTTTGAACCTACGTGTAGAACTTTACATTGAACTCAAGCTCATAGGAGCTCATCTTATTTGAAAAACTGACCTCTATTTCTTCCCTTAGATGCATATCAAGGCCTGTTAGACTTGGCCTCCCATTGTCCAGACAATGCCAGCCCTTCACACTCTTTGGAGGGCATGTTGTGGGCTGGCAGGAGGTAATGCCACTTTGCCCAGACAGGATGGCTGTTCCAGTTCTATCACGCTCGATCACTCTCCCCACCTCCTCCTTTCGTGCTGCCCAGGGCAAGGCAGTAGTAGCCCAACATGGTCAGAAACGTCTATACCCTCAGCCCCATCTCCTTATGCAGAAGAGCCTGTGGCATTGAGATTCCTCTGAAAGGAAGGGGGAGGTACACAGGTACAGGACAGAAATACTCTTTCCAGAGAAACACTTCTGCACTTAGACAAAGAACAGCCCAGGGGGAAGGAAGGAAGGAAGGCTGCTGGAGGACCCCCTGACTGCGAGAAGCCACCTGGGCTTCGGACTCAGGCTGGCTGCAGCCGAACAAAGCACTCTCCTGTCTGCACCGGTCAGAGCCCACCTTCTAGATTTGGCCAGCAGGAGAGGATCGCTGGGTTTCAGTGGAGACAGGTGGAGGCAGCAGCTGGCAACCAAGTCTGCCAGCGTTTTTCAACTACCAATTAAAAAACCTTTCCCTCAAAAACCAGCCATACCCTTTTCCCCCTCCCTGAGACGATCCAACCAGATTCTGGGTCTCTCAGGGCGCTACATGGGGAAGAATATTCTTGGAGATGGGACCCGGGGTTCGGTCTCCTAAACATCTGGATGGACTCCCTAGGGAGGAGCCAGGGTATCTCAGCCCTCAGCCTGGCCCTTTGCCAACATCCCCACCCCATAAAAAACAGCTTACCCTGGCCACGGACATAAACACTCAGCACACTGCTGAGCAGACCCCCATGGGGGGTGATTTGTTCCTGACAAATACAGGTGAAGACCTCCAGCAGGGTGGAGTAAATGTCTGGAGAGCCAGCGGGCAGCCTCCACCTCACTTCCCTGCATTCCCTGCCATCTGTATTCTTAGCCCTTCCCATTTGATGTCTACCAGAGATTCCTTCCTGGCAATGCCTGGGCTGAGGCATGGGGGCTGTGGCAGGGATGGGGTGCCTGGGCAAGCTAGGGCAGAGAGAGGAAAGGGCATGGCCCTCTAGGTGGAGGCCCATCCTATCTCAGAGACGTAGAATCGCAGATACAGAGCCAGAAGGGACCTTGGAAGCCATCAATTTGACAAAGAAACAGACACCAAGGGGGTTCCCACCAACTGGGGAATGGCTGAATCAGCTATGGCCTATGAATGTAATGGAAGACTATGGTGCTGTAAGAAAGGATGAAAGAAAGGGATGGTTTCAGAGAAACTCAGTATGAACTGAGGCAGAGCGAGGGAGCAGAACAATTTACGTGATCGTATACATTAATCAATTCAGAGCACCGTAAAAGACAAACAAGAGACCCTGAAAGATTTAAGAACTCTGATCAATGCAATGACGGGCCTCAGGAGACTCATGATGAAACATGTCACCCTGGGAGGTGATGGGGTCAGGATACAGGGAAGGCCTAGATTACATGGCTAAATGGGAATCTGTTTTGCTTGTCTACGCATACCTACTAGAAGCGTTTTTCTTTGTCCCCCCTCCTCCCAGTTGGAGAAGTGGGAAAGTGGACAAATAAATGTTTGTTCATTGGGGAAAACATTTAAAAATTTTTTTTTTAAAAAGGAGCCACTTATTTTAGCCTGCTCATTTTACAGATGGGGGAAACTGAGGCACAGAGAGATTAAATGACTTGCCTCAGGTCACAAGTGGCAGAAGCAGCAACCTTCCATTGCCCCCATCCTGCCTCTAGCAGATACCAGGACAGAGAGGAAAAGAGAGGTAGGAAGAATAACGGGTGACACAGGGTAGACAGAGGGAGCCGCCCTCCCATCCCAGGCTCAGGCAAAGCTGATGCTGCACCTTCAGCTCCAAGCCTTGGGGTCCCAGGGGGAAGAAGTTTCTGACTAATCCTGCTGGCTCTTTCGGGTGCAAGAGAGACATCTGCACAAGTCAAGGGTCTGGTTTCACAGGGTTTATTAATACCACTACTGCTCACCTCTAGGGACTTCTGGGCTTTAAAAACCAGTGAACCAAGACCCAAAGTCTTAGCTTCACAGCTTGGGGGAGGGGTTGGGGAGTCAGACCCAAACCACAGCAGCTGTGCTGTGGGCACGTTAAGGAGCACAAGGCAGTGATGGGAGAAGGACCAGCTGTCTGGTTCCCCGGGCATAAGTAGAGATGGGGGCAAGTTGTAGGAATACCTTCAGTGGTCGCCAGTCCATTCTCCAGACCAAATATGAGTCCCTATTCTTAGATTTAAATGCCTTCCTTTGGAGGGGTGAGAGCCATTCCCTTCTCAGCAGTCCCAACCCCTCTACCTTCTGGGAAAACCAACCTTCTTTCTGCACATGGCTCATTCCACTTTACCCACTTGCAAATCTATCGCCCTCTCCCACGATGCCCCCATTACCTAGAATAACTTGTGGAATAGCATGCTACTGTTTCCCCCTTCCCTCCACCCTCCAATCTCTACTCCTCCTCCTCCTTTCAGAAAGCCTTCCCAGAATTAAGAGGAATCAGCCAATCAAACAGTCTGAAGGCCATTCACCCTGTCTACAAAGAGAGATCAAAAAGATAGAAAGGCCTCCATTCATCTCCATCTGGTCTCTTTCAGCAAATCATCAGGGGAGGGGAGGGTGGGAGTATGGCTCTCCTATTCTATACGGCACTTGCAAGTAGTCTATGAATCTCTCCCAGGAACCAACTTGGTAAAATCCACCAGTAAGAAGCACCTGGAAATACCACTGGCATCCACCCACCCACCCACCCATCCATCTACCCACCCACCCACCCATCCACCCATCCACCCACCCATCCATCCATCCACCCACCCATCCATCCATCCACCCATCCATCCATCCACCCATCCATCCACCCACCCATCCATCCATCCACCCACCCATCCATCCATCCATCCATCCATCCATCCATCCATCCATCCACCCATCCATCCATCCATCCATCCATCCATCCATCCATCCATCCAACTACCCTACTTCCTTTGGGGCATCATTTCATTAAACTAACAACCAATAAACATTGATTGTTATCAATCTACACACTGAGTACACAACACTTTGATAGGCACTGGGGGAAATACGAAATTTGGACAAAACCCATCCTTTGTCTGAGCTTCTATTTCTGTCAAGGGCGCCTCCATCTTCCCAGTCATCCAAATTCACAACCTGAGAATCATTCTTATTCTTCCACATATTCTGTAACCAATCAGTTGACAAGTCTTGTTGATTCTGCATTCATCAGCCATCAAGCAATTATCAAGCACTAGCTGTGTGCCAGGTACTGTGCTGAGGATAGTAGTGCAAAGGATGGACTATTCCTCTCAATTCTGGGGAAGCTTTTGAAAGGATGAGGAGGAGGAGTAGAGATTGGAGGGTGGAGGGAAGAGGGAATCGGTAGCATGCTATTCCACAAGTTATTCCAGGTAACGGGGGCATCATGTGAGAGGCAATGACATCCTTCCAAATGGTATGGTGGGAAGAGTCTTGGCTCTAGGGTCAGAGGGTGTGGGTTCAAATTCTGCCTCTGTGACCTGGGATAAACCACCTAACTTCCCCAGGCCTCAGCTTCCTCCTCTGTAAAATGAGAGGGTGTCTGAGGTCCCTTCCAAACTCTAGGTCTCTGACCCAGCATCCGAGCTCAGGCCCTCCTCACTTCTCACCTGGACTCCTGCAGTAGTCTCCTGATCTTGGTCTCCTTTGCCTCCAAGCTATACCTTTTCCAATCCATCCTCCACACAGCTGTCAAAGTGCTGTCCCTAAAAGGACAAATCCAACTGTGTCTCTCCCTGGCTCAATACACTCCAGCAGCTCCCTGTTACTTTTGAGGATCAAATACAGACTCTTGCTTGGCATTTAAAGCCCATCACCATCTAGATTCCACCTGTCTTTGCAGCCCCATGGTACAGGGCTCCCCTTCACACACTCTTTGTTCAGCCCAACTGTCCTCACATACAACGATTCACCCACCATCTTGTCTTTGGACAATCTGTCCTCCAGGCCTAGAACACTTCCTTTTCAATGCTACCTCCTCAAATCCCTTATTTCCTTCAATGCTCTGCTGACTGCTACCTCCTGCATGAGGCTTTTCCTAATCTCCTCTCGCCAACACTCCCACCCCCCAACAATAACCTTCTATTTTGTTTGCATACATATGGTTACTTGGTCTCTTCAGATGAATACAAGCTCCCAGAGGGCACACATGCTTTCATATTTGTCTTTGCATCCCCAGCACCTAACAGGGTGGTCGGCATATAGCAGGTACTTAATAAGACTTGCTGATTGATTGAATGCAGTTAAGTAAAGGACCAAGACCCCACCAGATAAGGAGAGCAGCAGAGAGTCATGATACAAAGTCGCCTGGGAGGTCAGAGGTCAGAGGGAGGTTTAGACCGGGAGGATCAGGGAGGGAGGCCCCCAGAGTCATGGCACCTGAGCCCCCAATTCCCAGTTCAGTCCCCAGTCTCCAGTTCTGAAATGAAAGGGAATGCGATTAGGTTAAGGAAGAAATTCTGAAACCCTGGTCCTTGTTCCAGTCCACAATCCTCGCCCCTTCTCAGTGGGAAGCAACAGAATTAGGGGAATAAGCTGTGTAACCCTGGGCAAGTAACCTAACCCCAATTGTCTAAAAAGGGGGAAAAAAAGAAGCAACAGAATTAGGGGGAAAAAAAGTTGGAGCTCTATCCCCAGACTCAGCCCCTGCTGGGGACAAGCTGGTGCCAGGTCTGGGATAAGCCCGAGAGGGCAAAACCTCTGTGCTAAACAGAGCACTCCATTTGGGTCTCTGGACTTTCCAAAGCACTTTTAAACAAACCAACCACAAGTCAAGGAAGCTTCTTGGCCTAATTCTGTTATAATTGAAGAGAGGACTGAGTCCTAGGGTCCTAGAGGACCCTAGATTTAGATTTGGAAATGGCGTCAGAGGCCACCTGGTCCATCTCCCTCGTCCCAGATACTGCCAGGAGGTGAAGTGATTCACCCCAGGTCATTCAGGGAAGTGGCCAAGCTTGGACCTGAACCAGGGTCTTCTGACTCCAAATCCAGGGCTCCTTCCACAGGAGGCAGGATCAGGACTTGGCTCCTCTGAGCCTGGAGACAGTGAGTGACTGCTCTTTGCCCTGTGCTGCTGTCGAGTTCCCACACCCTTCCCTCAGTTAGCTGGAGGGAAGCAGTGTGGACCTGGCTCTCTCAGGCAGGGTCCCTTCTGAGAAATTACCTCTGCTCAGGACAGCCTGAGCTGGGAACCTGGTGTCATGAGAGGAAATACCAGGAGATCATGGAGATGGCCACCCCAGGGCCCCTGAAAAAAGACAGAAATCCCACCATTTGCTCCAGCCAATCTTCTCATAGTCTTTCTCTCTCTGTGTCTCTCTCTTTGTGTGTGTCTCTCTCTGTCTCTGTCTCTTTTTCTGTCTGTCTGTCTCTGTCTCTGTCTATCTCTCTGTCTCTGTCTCTCTCTGTCTCTCTCTTTGTGTGTGTCTCTCTCTGTCTCTGATTCTTTTTCTCTGTCTCTGTCTCTTCCTCTTTCTCTCTGTCTCTCTCGTTCTTTCTCTTTCTGTCTTTCTACCTCTCTCTCTCTGTCTCTCTCTTCTTCCCCCCTCCCTCCCCTCTTGCCTCAGCCCCCAAGACAATGAATAGAATTCTGGGTTACCAGAGACTTGTGAGAACAAGCTATGTGAAAAGGGGCACTGGAGAAATGGAGGGCATGAGGGAGAGAGCAAAACGGGGAGGCAACAGGGTTTAGAGGAGAGGGCACTGGGATCAAGAAGATCTAGGTTCAAATCCCACACCTGTGACCCTGGGCAAATCACCTGACTACTCTGTGCCTCAGTTTCCTAATTTGTGAAGTGAGGGCGCTAATGGCCTCTGAAGTGGCTTCCAACTCATGGTCCAGGATTCCACGACCTGTGAGTCCGTGGCCTTCCTGGTTGTCCCCAACACACAGAGATGCCATGGGCCAGTATAAAAAAAGGATCAGAAGTCCCCAAGTGGCGCTGCCCACCTTTTGCCCCAGGGAGGACAGCTTTGCCCATGCCCAAGGCACTTCTTGCTTCAGAGAGCATGGCACACCAGCTGCCAGAGGCGAGCGTGCCAAGCATACGCCCCCCACCACCCAGCCAAACTCCTCAGCCCCCTTCTAGCCGCTGTTCTCTCTACCCCACGAGCCGGTGTCTGCCTTCTCCAGGTGAGGGTCCTTCCACTGTGCCCTGACCTCCACCACACAGCTGTGCATGCTCCCAACACCCTCCCACCCCTCTCCTGCTCCCTGACCCACAAGCTCTCCAGCTTCTCTCAGCTCTACCGTGGTGGGGGTGGGGAGGTCCCTGGGAGCCGGAGGAGAGCCTCTCGGGGGCTGTCCCATTCTCTCCCACCCTCCCAATCACATCCGTGCTCCCCCAATGCTGTCATTTCAAGTAGAGAGAAGCAAGCCCAAGGCACCATGTGGGTTCCCTGTGCACACAATACATGGGCAGCTCAGCCTTCCTCTCTTCTCCTGGGAAACAAAGAAACTCCCAACTTCCCCTAGCAGATGCCGGTGGCACACCCCCCTCCTGGGCTGGGGGCTCCAGCCTTGGCCCCCCCCATGGCTCTGGCACTGACCAGCACACTTGCCTCTCTCTGGGCCCACTGGTCACCAGGCCTGGGGCCAGCATCACACTTTTTAACTTTCTGTCCTGACCAGCTCCTTCTGGAAGTTGCCCCAAATCTCCCATTCACTGTCATCACCTTCTCTCCAGCCCCTCGGGAGAGGAGGAAAACGGCATCTCAGCTGCCCGAGATCTGCTAATGCCTCTCGCCTCCCGCGGCTCCCTGACTAGGGGTCGGAAGCAGGTGTCAAGGGGCAGAGGACAGGTTCCCGGCCACTCCCCGCCCCCAGCCCTCTGCCGCCACAGCATCCAGGCTGCCCACCCCGACCAGCCAGCGGCGTGACAAGTACTCCAAGAGAGGCGAGCCGTGAGTTACCATAGGTGCAATTACAGCACAGTCTGATGATCAAGAGAATTTCCATGGCAGCCTTTTCTGCAGGGCGCCCCAACAGCCATCTCTCCCTGCTCCCCGGCTTCCATCAGCAGGTGAGCCACCCAGTCACCTCGCCCGCTGGCCGGGCGCAGCAGCAGCCCTGGCCATGCAGCATCCAGAACCTGACTGCTGCCGCCGCCGCTGCCGAACAAGTGAGTGAGCGCTAGGGAGGCTCAGCGGAGCCAGTGGAGAAGGGGGAGGGGAGATGAAAATGAAGTGGAAGACTGGGGAGGGGGAGGAGGGAGAAAGAGGGAGCAAGGGACATCACTGACATTCTAATGAGGAAGAGCACACTTGCAGTTGGCCGGCAGCCTGGGGACACAGGCAGCTGGATTCTCACAAGTGTGAGTGTGCGCGTATGTGTATGTGTGTGCGTATACACGCCCAACACAAACACACAAAACACACATTCACACCAGTTACGCACACTCAGCAGCACACGTGCTCAGAACCCAGAGAGTCAGACAAAGAGAGCTGAACCACTCCCCCTTCCCCTCCGAATACCTTCCATGGTGATGGACGTGTGGCTGTCCTTGGAGTCCTTCGGGGCTCTGACTTTGAGTTCCTGTCAATGGAAAGAGAAGACTCGCTAACAAAAGTCCCCTCCCATTTCCTGTGGCCCACCTTCCCCGGCCTACAAACCACGCTTCCCCTCTACACACTGCCACTGCTATAAGCCCAGCAGTTTTCTTAATGGCTATAGTGAAAACATTTTTAATTCTTTTTTTTTTCTTTTAAAGGCTCCACTTAGTTGACGCAGTTCGGTACAGAGGAAAGGGTCCTGGTTCAGGTCCCACCGCCCACGTGACCTTGGGCAAAGTCACTTCTCTCTGGGCCTCAGTTTCCTCATCTGTAAAATGAAGAGCTTGGACCAGATGGCTTTGGAGGCCCCTCTGAGTTCTAAATAAGGCTGTCCCTCTGTAAGATGAGGTGGGGCAGCAGCCTGGATTCAGTGGCTCCCAAGGTTCCTCCCAGCTCATGATCCTGTGAACTCTTCCCCTCAGAGCCTCAATTTCCTCATCTGCATAATGGACCAGATGGCTTCTGAGATTTCCTCCAGTTCTAGATCTCCATCTTAAGGCCAGATCATGGCATGGAGGGATGAGCCTGGGTCCCTGAAGGCAGAAGCTCTTGTTAGTCCTGAAACAAACTGGAAATATTTGGGTCTGGAAGGGACCTCAGAGGCAAACTAGTTCAATCCTCTTATTTTACAGGTAAGGAAACTGAGGCATAGAGTAGCCAATTCATAGGATCTAGAGCTGCAAGGTACCTCAGAGACAATCAAGTCCAATGCCCGTACTTTATTGTTTTTGGGGGGAGGCAATCAGGGTTAAGTGACTTGCCCAGGGTCACACAGCTAGTTAGCATTTGGGGCCAAATTTGAACTCAGGTACTCCTGACTCCAGGGCTGGTGCTCCATCCGCTTCAACACTTAGCTTCCCTTTATCGCCCTTACTTTACAGAATGGGAAATTAAGGAGAGGGGAGGAGAAATGATTTGCCCAAAGCAGCACAGGTGATAAGGTGGGGTATGTCCCAGCAGGTCTTCCCTGAGGCCTCCTCCCTGAGTCAGGAGGGAGTCATGCCCAGGGGAATGCCAATTGGAAGACTTGTTTGGGCCACCTTGGTGGAGGGATTGCCCCGACAGAAGAAGCCAGAGGGGCAAGAGAAACCAGCAGTGTGAATAGGGCGACATGCATTTTAAAGAACACTTTGTCTCTTCATTCCCAGAGCTCAAAGCAACCAGAAATTGGTGCTGGCGACCAGAACACAGGTGGAGAACCGAGGAAACCTCAGCCCTTGGGACCGTGGCAAGGCTGGCACTGACTCATGATGGGGACTAGCCCTAACCTAACCCTCCAGCCCTGGCAGGCCTTTCCTAGGGAGAGGCAGGAATACAACCCCCTGGTCCATTTCTACCACGCAAGGGGCCAGACACTTTTAACCCAAAGTACACTCTTAGGACAAACTTCTTTTGTTCCAGTGAAATACCCACTTCTTCTCCTCTCCCTCCGGGGGCCAAGAAAAAAAAAGATCATAGCTTTCATGCTGGAAATGACTACAGACTTCATCTCTATCAAGCCTTTCCTTTTACGTAAGAGGAAACTGAGGCCCAGAGAGGCTTAGGGTCTTGCTCCAGATCACATACAGGTCAGAGGGGCATGGATGGAGGGCTGGAAGGGTTCTGAGAGGCCAGCGAATCCAAACCCTTCATTTTTCTGAGGAGGAAACTTAGGGAGGGGACTTTCCATCTTACTTCAGTCCCTGTGCTAAGGGAGGGTGGGGTGCATAGCCCTTCTAGACGTGGTCTGGGAGGTAGTTTGCTATATAGGATGATGGACCAGAAGTTTGGAGACCTGGGTTCAAATAAAGCCTCTGCCCTGTACTAACTTGGTGATCGGAGGCAAGTGACCCTAGGAGTAAGAAAGCTCTTGGCTTGCTTCCAGGCCAAAATCTATGGTCCTATCTTACCCCATATGTCACTTAACATCTTAGTTTTCCCCTGTGTAAAATGAGGAATACTTCTATTACTTATCTCACAGAGCTTCTTGTGAGGAAAGCACTATAAACTTTGGGGTCACAGACTGAGAGTGGAAGGGACCTTATAAGTCACCTACAGCCACACTTTTATTTTTTACAGAATAGGAAACAGAGGCTCAAGAAGGCTGAGTGAATTACCCAAAGTCCCACAGAGCCAGGATTCAAACTTGGGGCCTGCAATGACAAGTTCAGCTCTCCTTTCACCACATTCAACTATATATGCTATAGAAACACATTTATTGTCTGATTGATTGATGACAGTGGTAACCGGGCAACTGGCTTGCCTGTCCTACTACAGGAGAATCCTCAAAGGAGGATGAGCTGCTACAGACATGCCGGCTGCTAACTGTCCCTGGCAAGATGGGGATGAACCATCCCTGCTCCAAGTCTACATTACCAACAACCTGACCACTGGCAGGGAGACTGCGGGAAGGGCAGGAGGCCATGACCTTGCAGATGCTACACGACATGCTGGGGGACATTGCAGGGGACTGCCTATCTGATCTAAATCCCCATCGTCAGCCTTTGTGGCTGTCATGGAGCTCTGCTCTCTGCAGGTGCCCCAGCTCATGCTCCCAAGGATAATGGGACTGAAAAGTACAGTCCTGTCTGAAATTAGAGCTGAAAGGTAATCCTTGAGGAGAAAGTAGATGAAGGCCTAAAATCTGGGCTGAGGAGGAGGGGGACAGGTAGAGAGGGAAAGGACCAAGGGTCAGGACATCAAGGTGCTGCTACCTGCTTCCATCAGCATCCTACCAGAGGCTGGAAAGCACTGGAAAAGGACCCAAGGAACAGAGCTACCCTGCAGGATGCAATAAAGGATCAATGAGGTCAGGCCGGCTATGGACCCAGCTCCCCGAAGGAGAGGAGGGAAAGGCAGGAGACTGTAGGAATTCTATGTTTCCTCTTCTAGCTCCAAGCTGTTTCTAGAGAGAAAAACCTTGGAGAAAAAGAATAGAAATGGGGCTTCTCTAGAAAAGCAGGAGGTAGGACTGTGTTCCCTGGGGCTAGAGCCCAGCTCTGTTCTCTCAGAGTCTCTAGGGAATTATCATTCCCAGCAGCCTCAGCCTGGAACTATGAAATCACTCTGACAGCCCAGGAGAAGAGCCTAATTACAGTAATTAAGTGGCAGAGCAGAGCAGAAAGCACCAATGAGTCAGGGAGAGAGGACTGTCACCACATGGCTACACCTGGCAGGCAGCCCTCAGGCCTGAGCTCTGGCCTTGGGAATGTGTGGGTATGCACAACTGCCGGCTGCACCACCAGCCACGGGCACTGGGCATTGGTTTGAGGCCCAGACTCCCCAAAGAAGGAAGGAAGCTGGGGCCCCAAAACACAGGACCAAAGCTATAGAGATGAAAGGATCTCAGAAGCCATTCGAGTCCCATCCCCTCCTTTTAGAGAGGAAAAACTGAGGCTGGGGGCTGGGGTGAGTGGTTTAAGTGGTTTGCTCAAGGTTACAGAGAGATTTGAACCCAGGACCTCTGATTCTAGAGCCAGGGCTCTTTAGGTTATACCAGATTTTGTGGATGCCTTCAAAGGAGGCCATGAAGGGCCTCAGGGCACATGTGGGAAACTGTTCCATCGAACAAGGAAAACTACTGAGCATGGAATCATGGAATCGGAGCTGGAAGGGACCTGGGAGCCCATCAAGGTCCATAAATGAGGCTCCTGAGGTTAAGTGACCTGCCCAGGGTCCCACAGCCGTTTGAGAGTCAGAGGTGGGATTTGAGCCTTGGCTCTCCTGCCCCAAAGTCCAAGGCACAATGCTGCCTTTTGGAATCAAGCGCCTGAGGGCTCTGGTGGACAGTCAGGTACCCATTGGCCCGGTGGAGCTGGGAAAGCTGTTTGATCCCTCTCTGCCTCAGTTTCCTCACCTATAAAAATGAGTGAATGGTCTTATAAACTGTAAAGCCCTCACCAAATCTGAGACACTCCCTGGGAGAGCAAATGCTCATCTCGCCAACTTTCCTCATACAAAGGCAAAGACACGGAAGATGAAGGGACAAATTCTGATCCTCCAAGTAGTGAAATCATTCTGTAGCAGCAGGACCAGCCCACGTGATCCTGAGGCCATTCACCCCAAGCTTAGGGCGGATGGGCTATAAAAGTGAAATGTTAACAGATCAGGGAGGCTACCTGAAAATCTCTTACAAGCCAAAGAAAACCCTTCTGGGGCTGGGCTGTCAAAGTCGATGATACAGTGGATAAAGGGCACTGGAATCAGAGGTCCTGGGTTCAAACGCTATCTCTGACACTTACTACTTGTAAGACTTTTGGAAAGTCAAGTAATTTTTCTGAGCCTCAGTTTCCTCCTCTGTAATGTAAGGAGGTTAGATTAAATGGCTTCTGAGGTCTCTTCCAGCTCTAGAGTAATGATCCCTATCTACCTTCCCTCAGTGGCTCCACTCAGAACCTCACCCACCATGATCTCTCTTTCCCAACTGGGCCTTGCCATCTGCCCTTCAGCCACCTCCTTCTCGCCGTGCTGTCTCCCTGAATGAGAGTGTGGACTCCTTGAGAGCAGGGGCAGTCCAGATTTTCTGTTTCTGTTCTCAGTCCTTGACCCTGTGCCTGGTTCATTGTGAGCATTTACTCAGTGCTCTCCCTTCCATCCTAGGCCCCCTTGCCTTTCCATTCTTGTGGTGACAGAATGGTGCAGAGGAAGGATTTTTACATCCAGAGTTACGAGACCTAAGTTTGAATCCCCAGCTCTACCATATCCTATTCGCGTGAGCTTGAATGAACCACTAACCGGGCGCATTCTGACTCCGTGTTCAGATCTTGAGAGTGACCATTCCCCAACTCAACCAGATTCCCCCGAAGGGTTCTGGACTTAGGGAGCTCCTGTCCTCTCCCACTCTGAAGGACATCTCACAGAACGATAGAAGTCCAGAGCTGGGAAGGACCTTAAAATTTAGTTAGTCATGGGATCATAAGCCTAAAGCTGGAAGGGCCATCTAGTCCAACCCACTGTTTTACAGATGGGGAAACTGAGGCTGAGAGATCATGTGACATGCCCATAGTCACACAGCAAATAAGTATCAGAGGCACGATCTGAACCTAGGTCTTCCTAATCTCAAGTCCTACTACACCATGCCACTTTCATAGTTCCCTAGACTCAAGGAGCTCTGTCTTCTTCCATTTTGAAAGGGATTTGACAGAACCCTAGATGTCACAGCTAGAAGGGACCTGGGAGGTCATTTAGTCATAGAAACACAGATGTGGTGCTAGGAAAGACCTTGGGAGCCACCTAATTCAACCCCACCATTGTTCAAAGAAGGGAGCCGGGCTCCAAGGATGGGGAGGGACTTGCCCAAGGTCACACGATGAGTCAGTGGCATGTGCGTTCTAATCTTCCTTGCTCTTCCTGCTCCCTAATTTCAACCAAAAAAAAGTAAAGTGTGGAGGGTGAGGGGCAGGAAATCAAGAAAACTGACAATCCCAAATTAAGAAGCCAGCAAAAGAACATGCCAGGTGTAGGAGAGGGGCAGTTTAAGCATTAGCCAATCTGAGAAGCTGCTTCTCTGTCTGGCAATCGGGGAGGAAATAGCCCAGTCTGGGTTGGCTCTCTGGACAGCTCCCAAAATACATTTTCAGTCTTGGCCAAACGGTGTCCCCCAAGCAGGAGAGAAGCCGCTCACCTCGGAGATCTTCTGGAACTGGTTGTTGGACTGGCTGCACTTCTCGGCCGTCTCCAAAGCGATTTTGTAGTTATCCACAAAGGCTTTGTACACACCAAGCTGGCTGGCCTGGAGGACAGAGATGGATAGGGAGAGGGGAGAGGGGAAGGGGGGTTGGTAGAAGGAGAGAATGAATGAATGAATGATTAATCAGAACACCTGGAGAGCTGGGAATAGACAAGGTACTCCAGAGCAGTTCTGAAGGTTTAGAGGTGGGGGTGGCGGGAGTGTAGAAGGGATGGAGGCTGAACAGTATCCCTCTGAATAAGATTCAGCGGTTTCCATGGAAACCAGCTCAACCCATAAGGGTTAACAAGGGGGCACTGGGGGCAGGGCAGTGCCATCTCAAGCATGCTGAGAAACTTAAGCCATCATGGCATTCGCCTTTTTTTTTTCTTTTTTGAAAAAGCATTATCAAAGGTTTTGTTGGGTTTGAAATCCCTCTGTGCTTCACAATGCTTTCAGGGCTTAGAATTATCTCTGGGAGAAAGCAAGGTGGGGAGGAGAGAGAGAGAGAGAAAGAGAGAGAGAGAGAGAGAGAGAGAGAGAGAGAGAGAGAGAGAGAGAGAGAGAGAGAGAGAGAGTGTGTGTGTGTGTGTGTGTGTGTGTGTGTGTGTAGCAGCTCCCGGCCCCCAGGCTCCAAGCTGCTCCGTGCTGTGCATCACACCACTGTCCAGGTAGCTTTGCAGGTTGTCTGCTTTCTGCGTGGGTGTCCATCCCTCCACCCTTTCCTAAGAGTCCCCTGTACCACTCCCTCCACATAGAACAGGAACATAGCAGACAGCGTGTTAGCCATCAAAGGACTGGAGCCCAGAGGAGGAGAGTCCCCATGGCTGGGGCAGACAAGGCCACAGAATACCCTGCCCTGCTTACCCCATTTGAATGAAGCTCCTATTTTTTTCAGACAAGGCGAATGCAGAATGTGCCTAAATGTTACAAGGGTTTTCTCCCTCCCCCTCTCCCTCCCAGCCCCTGTGAGAAGAAAATCTCTTTTCATTAATGGGGGAAATTTTCTTTTAAATGTTTAACAGAACATAAAGTCCTCGAAGGAAGGCAGTTTCACTTTGTATCCACAGCACACAGTAGGTGTAGGGATAGAAATTACACCTGTGATTTCCTCTGTACAGGGAATTCCCAGAGGAGGAAGGTCCCTTCACTAATGCAGGTTGGCACTTCCTCTCCAACTCGTAGTTGTAGAGAGTTGTCTGGGACCCTGAGAGGTTCAATAACTCGCCCTCTATGGGTAAGAGGTTGGACTGGACCCCATGGGCTTCCTTTCCTGGTTCTGAGGCTGGCTCTCCCTCCATGACTGCCCAATTCCTCTCCCAGTAAGCACTTAACAACAAGGCTTCTGCTATCTCATGCCTCCCGCAGGACCCAAAACAGAATGGAGACTCTACTGGGGGGAGCGGGAGGGAGGAGGAATGAGGAACACAGGTTTAGAGCTGGAAGGACCTCAGAGTCCAGCCCTCCTCCCTTCCTTTTCCACAGGAAGACCCTGAGCCGCCCGGAGGTGAAGAGATCCGCCCAGGATCACATAGGTGGTAAAGGACAGAGAGCAAAGATTTGAACGGAAGCCTCCCACTCCAGCCCCCAGGCATCCTGAAGCCACGGCAGACTGTAAGCTCCTTGAGGGCAAGGATTGCTTTGCCTTTTTCACTGTGCGGTGTTCAGCACAGCACCCAGCACTAAGTGCTTAATAAATAAACGCGTGTTGATTGACTGATTGCAGACATTAGGATCTAGCAATGAACTAGGGATGGGGGGGAGAGGAGGGATCCAGAGATGATTAGAGAGAAGTGAAGTGCCCCTAGGATCTCAGGGTTCAAAGCTAGGACAGGTAAGAAGTGGGGAGGCTGGGGTGGGAGTGGGCAGCGCTCCCTGAGATTCACCCAAAGCCACCACTTCCATTATTTCCAGGAGTGTGGAGGCCAGGGATTAATGGATGTTGGGACCAAGAACCCAGCCAGGAGGCATCCCACATACCCAGGCTCCCCTCAATGGCATACAGCTTCTGCTAGGGCAGGCATTCGTCACATGCTATGGACCCTTTCTAAGAATGTGTGTGTGCGCTGTGTTTAGTCATTTTCAGTCATGTCCAGCTCTTTGTTACCCTTTGTGGGGTTTTCTTGGTAAAGATACTGGAGTGCTTTGCCATTTCCTTCTCGAGCTCATTTTACAGATAAGGAAGCTGAGGCAAACAGGGCTAAGTGACTTGCCCAAGGTCACACAGCTTGTAAGTGTCTGAGGCTGGATTTGAATTCGTGTTTTGCTGACTCCAGGCCCAGCAATCTGTCCACTGAGCCGTCTAGCTGCCCCAGAATAATGTTTTTTAAATGCATCAAATACAATACAGATTACAAAAGACACCACTCCACTGCCTCTCCCCTAGATTACTGCATCGCTCTCCTTGCCACAAGCCTCTCCCTGCTCCCCACCTATGCCACTATCCCATATCCCACTGCCTCTCTAAAGACCCCTCACACCTTTAAACTCCCAAGACTTCAGGATTTTGAAGTTCAGGCCCCAGCACATCACTCTCCTACTTGATGTATTCCAGTGGCCCCCCTAAAAAAAGAGACTCCTTGATTTGGTTTTTAAGGGCTTTCATATCTGGTCGGACCTTTCCAGCCTCCCTGGACATTAAGGCCTCTCCTGGCCCCGACATCCATCCACCCGGGCTGCTTTCTGTTCCTTACACACAAAGGCCCAGCTTTTGTCTCTGAGCCTGGCACTGGCCAGCCTCCCCCCCCCCCGCCCCAGCTCGGCCTCAGAGCCCCTCTTTCCCTTCAAGACTCAACTGCAAAATTCTAAAAAATGAACGCTAAAATAAATAAATAATAAGCTGAGGCAGGGGGAGACACAGCTGAGGCCCCCTCTTTGGCACAAAGCCTTCTGCGTTCTCTCCGGCTGCTAGCACGCTCCCACCCAAGCTCCCTTTCATATTTATCCTATTTATGTTTATGTCGTATATACTAGTACACGTGCCCGTTGGCTCCCTCAAGGGAACGCAATCGCAATCTCCTCGTGCACGGGGGATTTTGTTTCACTTTGCATTTGCATTCCCAGTTTTCAGCATGGTGCCTGGTGGTGTTGTTCAGTCAGTCGTGTCCAACTCTCTGTGACCCCATTTAGGGTCTTCTCAGCAGAGACACTGGAATGGTTTGTCATTTCCTTCTGCAGCTCATTTGACACAGATGAGGAAACTGAGGCTGACAGGGTAAAGTGACTTGCCCAGGGCCATACAGCTAGTTAGTGTCTGAGGCCACATTTGAACTCGGGTCTTCCTGACTCCATGCCCAGCTCTATCCATGGCACCACCTAGCAATTCTCCCCTGAATTCTGATCACTTTAAAGGGAGATGGACTTGCTCGATGTCAGAGACCAGGGAGGGCACTCACCGGTGGTCATGGAACCTCGGACCAGTCACTGCCCCTCTCTTTGTCCTTGTCTACAGCAGGGGGCACAGTGATCATCAGAGATGGGATTTTAGTCCTCTGATGGGATCTACAGCCAGTCTCTACCACTGCCTCTGAGGCCGCCTACCTCCCAGCGGTGCTGCCATGGAAACCCGTGTACATTGTAAAGCGCCAGGCAAAGGGGGATCCCTGGCCCTCCTCTCTCTAGGCATCTTCTGTCAGTGGTTAGCTAATGGTTTGTAAACTGGTAATAACCCCTAGCATTTAAAAATAATCCAATACAAAGTATGGCAGAAGGCTGAATTTGGAGTCTGAGGACCTGGGTTCAAATCCTGCCACTTATACCACTTATTACTTTTGTGGTCTTGGACAAATTGTTTAACTTCTATAGATTTTAATATTCCTTATTTTAAATTGAGGGGTTTGGAATTGATGATTTATAAAGCAGTATGGTATACTGATTCTAGGGCAGCTAGATCACGCAGTGGATAGGGCGCCAGGCCTGGAGTCAATTCCTGAGTTCAAATCCAGCCTCAGACATTTCCTAGCTATGTGACCCTAGGTAAGTCACTTAACCCTATTTGCCTCAGTTTACTCATCTGTAAAATAGGAGGGCTAGATTTGATGGCTTCTGAGGTCCCTTCTAAATTTAGATCTGTAGGGGCAGCTAGGTGGCATAGTGGATAGAGCACCCGCCCTGAAGTCAGGAGGACCTGAGTTCAAATCTGCCCTCAGACCAAACACTTGACACGTACTAGCTGTGTGACCTTGGGCAAGTCACTTAACCCCAACTGCCTTAAAAAAAATAAATTTAGATCTGTGATGCTGCCTCAATGCTTACTATGCCCACTCAGTCACTTCCTTGCCTTGTGCCTCAGTTTCCCCATCTGTAAAATGATAGCACTGGGCCACTAGACCCCTTCCAGCTCTAAATCTCTGACACTAGGACAAACAAGTGAGCATAGCTCTTGGCTGGAAGGGGGTATGAGGAGGTTTCCCATTCTGAAGATTTTTCCAAGGACATCCTCCAGCCCCTAGAAAATTACCCCCAGGGCTGCCTGTTCCTCCAGGCTGGGTAGCAGGCAGAGTCATGAGGCACTCTGGGGGTGGTGGTTGCCTGGAAACAGCAGCTTAGCACTGGGTGATCTAATAAAGGAAATAGCAGAGATGCTAATTCCCTTTTTCCGGGTAATGAATAATCAGATCTCTAATGCCTCCCTCAGAAGGCAGGCCACTCCTTCCCCTTCTGAGGCAGAGCCCGGTCCTGGCCCTCTTTCCAGGCCTCCAACTCGCAGGTCCCAAGCAGACCACAGCTAATGCAGAGCCCCAATAGCAGAGCCACTCCAGATGCCTCAATGGGACGCTGGCCTGCACAGATGAACCCAGCAGGCTCCTCTGGGGCGGCACGAGGCACCAGTGCCCCAGGAGAGGAAGCCAACCTAGGTAAAGTCTTCTGACCTGCCCAGGTGGTATCCTTCTTCCCTCCCTCAGTGAAGGAGGTCTGGCACTCAATCTAGTGCATTTAGACCAGCCTCATTTCCCGATTTCTCCCCCATCCGCCAATGACCGGTGCCTTTCCCTGGAGATTACTCCTTGAATTTAGTCCTGGAAGGGATTCCAGAAAGCCACCTTATCCAAACCCCTCTTTAAGCAGATGGAGAAATTAAGGCTCAGAGAGCCACATGACTTGCCCGTGATCACACAGGTAGGGTCAGAGGCAGGACCTGGGTCTTTCTGACTTCCAAGTTCAACACTTTCTTTTTCCAGAAAAGATGGCTCATTTTGCCTAGAGTCATGAAACTTTATAGTCGAAAAGTACTTCCCATATATTCTGTAGGGAGGCTAGGTGGCACAGTGGATGGAGCATTGGGCCTGGAGTCAAAAAGACCTGAATTGAAATCCAGCTTCAGACACTTACTAGCTGTGTGACTTTGGGCAAGTTACTTAATCCTGATTGCCTCAGTTTCTTATCTGTAAAATGAGCTGGAGAAGGAAATGGCAAACCACTCTAGTATCTTTACCAAGAAAACCTCAAATGGGGTCACAGAGAGTTGGACATGACTGAACAACCACCCATCTTTTGTATTAAGTTTTTTAAGTATGCATAGCTCCCCCCAACAGAAGGTAAGCACCTCAGAGGCAGGGACGCTTCTGTTTTGGATCAGAGCTTGTTCTCATTGAATTAGGATAAATGAGAGTCACAAGTCTGGAGCAGTAAGAGAGGGCCACAGCCTGCAGGCTACTCGGGCGGTCAGGAAATGTGTAGGACAGTCACACAGTGGGGGCTGCTTGGGAGTGCCCCACCTGGTTCTGTAATCCCTGGGTGGCAGAGTGTAAGAGGAGGAGGACCTCAGGCTTCTGTAACATCTTGGCCCAGTTTTCCCTGGAAGAGTCTGTGCTGTTTTCCTCAAGGTCAAAGTCAAGGTCATTCCCTTTAAACCCTCAGGGTCAAGGTCAGTCCTGATGTCTATGCTGAAGAACCTTCTTTAGCTGCAGAAGAAAACTAGCCCAGGCCTCCTCCCATTGGCTCTGCCACAACCTGTACACCTTGGATAAGTCATTTAGCTTCCGTTTCCTCATCTGAAAAATGAGGATACTGGACTGGAGGGTTCTAAGGCCCTTTCCCAATCCTCATGTATGGATCTGATGAGCCTATGATTCCTCATTGAATGGCAGCTAAGAAAGAAACAAAAACAGGCAGCAGCCGGCTCCAGTTCGGCCTGGGAGCCATAGTTTGCTGACTCCCGGTATAGTGGAGAGAGAGTGACTTTGAGGGCAAGAAGACCTGAGTTCAAGTTCCTCCTCAGACCCACACTGGCTAGGTGACCCTGAGCAAGTCACTTAACCTTTGTGTGTACCTGGCAGCATTCTATTATTTTAAGTCGAAAGATGGCTGTTCAGTTAAAATTAAATCACTAGTTCAGTTTTGTTTGTTTTTTTTAAAAGTCCTTCCTTGGCAGAGCAGTGCAATAGAATCCCAAGTCAGAGGCCCTGGGTTCAAATCCTCTTTCTACCACTCCCTGCCTTGGCTTGTTCTTGATTTCAGGGTATTGTCTGTAGGTAAAAGAATTCCTCTTCCCCATTACTTTTCCCGACTCAATCTCACTGCTCAGGGCAGACTGGGGAAAAATGCAGGGATCCTTGGAGCTCCCCTCTCCAGGGTTCTGGTCCTTCCAGCTGCCAGGAATCCCATGGTCAGCTCGCTCTCTGTCTCTCCCTCCTTGTCTGTTTGTCTGTCTCTTTTCTCCTCTCTCCCTGTCTGTCTGTCTCTGTGCAATTTATTCTTAGGGAAAAGAGACAGGCAGAGGGTCACGACGGGTCTGCCCAGCTAGAATGCCATGAAAAAGGCATGGATCCCCACCAGGAAGTGCAGAAGGACCACCGGTGATGCAGGCCATGCCAGGAAGAGGAGGCAAGGAAGGGGCTTAGGAAGGAGACTTAGGACTTCAAAGCTATAAGAGGTCTTTGGAGAAGCAATGGTATAACGGACAAAGAGCCAGCTTCGGAGTCAGGAAGACTTGAGTTCAAATCCTGTCTCTGACTCATACTGGCTATGTGAGCCTACAACTAACTCCTTGTGTGATACTGGACAAATCCCTTAAGCCTCTCTGGGCCTCAGTTTCCTCATCTGTAAAATGACGGAGCTGGACTAGCTGGTCTCAGAGGACCCTTCCAGTTTTAAATCTGTCCCCAGGGGCTGCAAAACAGCTCCCCCCCAAAAAAAGCTAAACTGAGGAAGGGCTGGGAACTTTGGAGGGTGACTAGCCCTTCACGGCTCCTTTATCCCCTGAAAACCACCACCCCAATTTCCTGCCCTGCTTTCCTGCTAGCACCTGCAAACCTTGTCCAGCTGAAGCTTTGTGGCGGACGGTCGTCCGCATCCTAGTGCATCCCCAGCCTCACGGTGGACGGTCGTCCGCGTACTAGCGCATCCCCAGCCTCATGGGAGGCCTGGCTCCCAGAGGTGGGGGGGAAGGAAGGGTAAGGGACTTACCAGCTTCTGGAAGAGGTGGCCCAAGGTGACCTGGCTGTCCCACTGCTGCACCTTGGGGCAGAGGTTGTCGTAGAATTCCTTGTGGATCTCATAGATGTCCTGGATCTTGTAGAAGATGGTCTCGATCTGCTGGATGGTGAGCACAGGCTGGGAGGTGGTGGCTGTGGCCTTGAGGGGTTTCATGGGCTGTGAGCAGGAAGGGAGAGAAGACAGGGCTAGAGTAAGAAAACCCAAACCAAGAACGTGGGGCAGGGTGGGGTGAGGAGACATACATTCAGATTTCTGGGGTTTGTGACCCTGGGCAAACAAACTCCTTAAATTCTCAGCCTCAGTTTCCTCATCCATAAAATGGGGACAAGCATGCTCACACTCTCTACCTCATGGGGACAATGTAAAGAAAACATACAATAAACCTTAAATACATTAACATGTTAAGGACCCGTGGGAATGCCCTCCAATAACAACAATAATAATAATGTAACATTTTAAGATTTGCAGCAAAGTGCGCTGCAGATATTATCCCATTTGATCCTCCCAATAACCCTGGGAGGCAGGTGTCATTTTTATCCCTCATTTTACAGATGAGGAAACTGAAGCAGGCAGAGCTTAAGTGACTCACCCAGGGTCACACAGCTAGTAAGTGTATGAGGCCAAATTTGAACTCAGGACTTCATGACGCCAGGTCTAAACTCTCTCCATTAATCTATATTACAACCTATCAGTACTTTTAGTCACAAAGGTGAGGAGATTCATTCTCAGGAAAGTGAACTGACTTGTCCAAGCTCATACAGCTAGCTAGGAAGCACCACAGACAGGATTTGAACCCAAGGCCTCTGATTCCAGAGTCACAAAGGGTTATCCGAGGCCCAGGAAGGTGCAGAAATTTGACTGTCGTCACAGAGGGAGTGTCAGAAGCATAACTGGAACCCAGGTCTTCAGAGGATCTAGGTCTAAAGCTAGAAAGGACCTGAGACGCCAATGAGTCCTCAATTGACAGATGAGGAGAATGAAGTACAGCTGGTAACATGACTTGTCCAAAATCACACAGCTAGTAAGTGCCAGGGGCGGATTTGAATCCAGGTCCTCCAGACTACGAGTCTGGTGCCCTGTCAACTAAGGCCACACTGTCTCTCATAACCTTTAAAGCACATATATCAATGTGAAGGCGTTGCTTTTTTAAAAAATGGATCTGTGATTTCACTGCTATAGGAAAGGCTTAGTGAGCAAATACCATCCACTAATGCAGAGTAGCACCTCCTTAGCAAGGCCTAACAGAATCACTGGAGAATAATTACGGGACTTGCCCAGGGTCACAGACAGGACTTGAACCCGGGCCTCTGAGCTCTTAACCAGCTGTCTCTTCATTAGGCTTGCTGCCTTTCCTCTGAATGTGAGTTATTATTATACTATCCATCCCCACAGGGCTGGGAGGGGCTGAGGGGACATCCTTTGCTAGAGTCTTGCCCAGACAAGGGCCCAGGGGTGGCACTGTACCCACCACACTGGGCCTGAAGCTTGATTTATACTTGGGTGGGGCTGTCACAGGCCCCAACAGGCCATGCTAAGCTCACATGACAAAGAAAGCCAGCATGCTGGGACCTGCCAGATCCGGGACAGGGGCCAACACTGGGCACCCACGGACTCCATGTGGAAGCCAGCCCGCTGGCTGCAGTCACTGGGTAGTGCCCTGCCAGGCAGGCTGTCATGGGCTGTTTGCTTTTTTTTTTTTTTAACAGGGTTCACACCTTCCTCTGGGGAGGACCTCACCCAATATTTCACGAGGCCCCTTCCCCTCCCACTCTAGCGGATGGGAGGGTTAGCCTGGAACTTCCTCCCTGCGAAGCTAGCCTCCCTTTGCCAGCAAAGGAGAGAGGAGACCTAGGCTCTCTGCAGGTGAAAATCAAACTACCCCTTTCTCTGAGGACAGCTGCGTCCGACAGGATCAGAGGTTTAAAGCCAGATGGTACTTCAGGGACCATCTAATCCAACTCCCACATTTTACAGCTGAGGAAACTGAGGCCCAGAGGGGTTAAGTAACTGACAGGATCATCATTTGAGAGCCAGAAGGGGTCTCAGAGGCCACCTAGTACAACAGGCAGGGACACCGAGGCTCCAGAAACTGATCTGACCTGCCCAAGATCCCACAGCTACTTAGCATCAGAGATAGGGTTTGACTTAAAGTAAGAAAACTATTAAACTAATAAAACTAGAAGATGGTTTTATGAAAGAAAAACTAATAAAATAGATAAACCATTAGTCAATTTGATTAAAAAAAAAAAGAGGCAGCTAGGTGGTGCAGTGGATAGAGCTCCAGCCTTGGAGTCAGGAGGACTTGAGTTCAAATGTGACCTCAGACACTTGACACTTACTAGATGTGTGACCCTGGGTAAGTCACTTAACCCCACTGCCTGGAAGGAAGGAAGGAAGGAAGGAAGGAAGGAAGGAAGGAAACCAAATTACTAGTATCAAAAATGAAAGCGGTGAATTCACCACCAATAACGAGGAAATTAAGACAACTGTTAGGAGCTATTTTGCCCAATTATATGCCAATAAATTTGACAATCTAAATGAAATGGATGAATATCTACAAAAATATAAATTACCCAGATTAACAGAAGAAGAAATAAAACATAAATAATCCAATCTTAGAAAAAGAAATTGAACAAGCCATCAATGAACTTTCTAAGAAAAAATCCCCAGGACCAGATGGATTCACAAGCGAATTTTACCAAGCATTTAAAGAACAATTAATTCTAATACTACATAAATTATTTGGAAAAATAGGCAGAGTCCTACCAAATTCCTTTTACAACACAAATATGGTGCTAATACCCAAACCAAGAAAAGTCAAATCAGAGAAAGAAAATTATAGATCAATTTCCTTAATGAATATTGATGCAAAAAACATTAAATAAAATACTAACAAAGAGATTACAGCAATATATCACAAGGATCATACACTCTGACCAGGTAGGATTTATATCAGAAATTCATGGCTGGTTCAATATTAGGAAAACTATCAGCATCATTGACCACATCAATAACAAAAACAGCAGAAATCATATGATTATCTCAACGGATGCAGAAAAAGCCTTCGACAAAATGTAGCACCCATTCCTATTAAGAACACTAGAGAACATAGTAATAAATTGAGCTTACCATAAAATGGTAAGAAATATTTATCTAAAACCATCAGAAAGTATAATGGGGATAAGCTAAAAGCCTTCCCAGTACAACCAAGGGTGAAGTAAGGATGCCCATTATCACCTCCATTATTTAATACTGTATTAGAAATGTTAGCTATAGCAATAAGAGAAGAAAAATAAATTAAAGGAATTAGAATAGGCAATGAAGAAATTAAATTATCATTCTTTGCACAGGATACATTATACTTACAAAATCCTAGAGAATCAACTAGAACACTACTTTGAAATTATCAACAACCTTAGCAAAGTTTCAGGACACAAAATAAACCCAAAGAAATCATCACCATTTCTACATATTACCAACAAAGTCCAGCAGCAAGAGATAGAAAGAGAAATTCCATTTAAAATAACTGTAGACAATATAAAATACTTGGGAGTCTATCTGCCAAGACAAACCCAGAAACTTTGTGAATACAACTTTAAAACACTTTTCACACAAATAAAGTCAGTTCTAAACAACTGGAAAAATATTAGCTGCTCATGGGTAGGCCAAGTCAGTATAATAAAAATGACAATTCTACCTAAATTAACCTATTTATTCAGTGCCATACCAATCAAACTATCAAAAATTATTTTATAGAGCTAGAAAAAATAATAACAAAGTTCATCTGGAAGAACAAAAACTCAAGGATATCAAGGGAATCAATGAAAAAAACGTGAAAGAAGGTGGTCGAGCTATAATTGATCCCAAAATGTTTATAAAGTGGCAATCAAAACAATCTGGTACTGCTAGGAAACAGAGTGGTGGATCAGCGGAATAGATTAGGTACAAATTATATTATAGTAAATGACCATAGTAATCTAGCATATGATAATCTAAAAGATCCAAGCTTTTGGAACAAAAACTCATCAAAAACTGCTGGGAAAAAAGGAACATTATGGCAGAAACTAGGTATAGACCAATATCTCACACAGTATACCAAGATAAGGTCAAACTGGGTACATGATTTACACATAAAGGGTGATACTACAAGCAAATTAAGAGAGTATGGAATAGTTTATCTGTCATATTTGTGGATAAGGGGAAAATTTTAAAAGAAGATACAGAGAGCATTACAAAATATAAAATAGATAATTTTGATTATATAAAATTAAAGAAGGTTTTACACAAACAAAACCAATGCAACCAAAATTATAAGGAAAGCAGAAAACTGGGGGAAATGTTTGCAACAAGTATGTCTGATAAAGGCCTTATCTTTCAGATACATAGAGAACTGAGTCAAATTTATAAAAATACAAGTCAGTCCCCAAATGATAAATGGTCAAAGGATATGAACAGGCAGTTTTCAAAGAAATCATATCTGAAAAAAAATGCTCTAAATCACTATTTAGCAGAGAAATATAAATTTAAAAAAAAAACCTCTGAGGTACCACCTCACACCTATCAGAGTGGCTAATATGACAAAAAGGGAAAATGTTGGATGTTGGAGGGGATGTGGGAAAACTGGGACACTAATGCACTGCTGGTGGAGTTGTGAACTGATCCAACCATTCTGGAGAGCTATTTGGAACTATGGCCAAAGAGTTGTGCATACCCTTTGATGCAGCAATACCACTGCTAAATCTATATTCCAAAGACATCCAAAAAAAGGGAAATGGACCTATTTGTACAACAATATTTATAGCAGCTCTTTTTGTGGTGGCTAAGAATTCCAATCAAAGGGATGCCCATCAATTGGGAAATGTCTAAACAAGCTGTAGTGTATGATTGTAATGGAATATTATTGTGCTATAAAAAATGACAAGCAGAGGCAGCCAGGTAACACAGTAGATAGAGCACCAGCTCTGGAGTCAGGACAACCTGAGTTCAGATCCAGCCTCAGACCAAACACTTGACACTTACTAGCTGTGTGACCCTGGGCAAGTCACTTAACCCCAACTGCTTCACCAATACCCCCCTCCCAAAAAAAAAAATGACAAGCAGGACAATTTCAGAAAAACCTGGACTTAGCTGAACTGATGCATAGTGAACAGAACCAA